AGGTCCCTTTGTTCGTTCAGAGAAAGGTTATACGTGGTTATTAGTAGTTGCTGATTGGTTTAGTAAATATACTTTAGTCCAACCTTTGAGAAAGGCCACGGCTAAGAATATTGTTAAGTTTTTAGAAAATGATGTTTTCCTAATGTTTGGTGTTCCTTAATATGTGATTTGTGATAATGCCTCAAATCTGAACAATCCTCTCTTAATTGAGCTCTGTAATAGGTATAACGTTCAGAAAGTATGGTTTAGCCCAGTATATGCACCTCAGTGTAATTTTGTGGAGAGGAACAATAGAACCATTGGTACAGCAATACGTACGTATGTTAAAGACCACGTAGATTGGGATAAGAATTTAGCAAAGATCAGACAAGCTATTAACACTGCAAAGCATGAAGTGACTGGATATACTGCAGCTTTCCTGAATTATGGCCGTCATGTTCCTTTAAGTGGAAATTATTATGGTGTTGATCATAAGGATCAACAGAATCAAGATATCGAGATAATTCCAGGTGACCGTAACAAGTATGCTTCAGAAGTCAAAGGTTTAGATAAAGTTTTTGAAAAGGTTAAGGCTAATCTTCGAAAAGGATATGAACGTAACGCTAGGAGTTACAACTTACGTAGAAGAGAAGTCCAATTTCAAGTGGGTGATAAAGTTTGGAAAAGAAATAAGGTTTTGTCTTGTGCTGTCAACAAGTTTATGTCCAAACTAGCACCGAAGTATATTGAAGCAACTATCAAGGAAAAATTGTCACCACTGGTTTATCGTTTGTCAGATTTAAATGGTTCAGATCTTGGTAAGCGGCACATTAAGGATTTAAAGCCTTTTGTATCAGATGAGGACAATATGTCATCTTTAAGTAATTAGTTTATCCTATCCCATGTCAATGTTTTCGAGTTTTTATGTTGATTTGATTTCATCCCTTTGGAATATTGTTTCACTTTTGATAATTTTAATTCAGGTAACCTATTTTATTTGGGAGACACATGTGAGAATCACATTTTGTCATATGTAGGTATATAGATTTTGGGTCTATATCCTAATTATTTTTTTGTAGAACCGTTGCCGAATTCCCTGTCTCGCTAGGCGTATAGTGGAGATAGTAGACGCCTACCTGTTAAGTGTAGAGCAATTTATTTTGGATTTGTGTATAGCACTTGGTTTAGGCAACGATAGCACTTGTGTTACCGCTGTGAATGTCAGCGAGGTTCACTGCAGGGCATAAGGTTAGCTTCCCCCAAGGCATAGAAACTCATGTCACCTACAGTTCATGTTAGAGTCAAACATTTCAGTCTACTCGACTTTAAAGAGTCTGGCGATCGATGGCACACTAGCCCATTCTTTGTAACTAACTTTGTTTTTGTTGTTTAATCCCATGCTAGCCATCATCTAAAAGATATTATTAAGAAGTTTCGACTCGTATCTTCTGATTTGGTTTTTGTCGTTTTGCCTTTATCAAAAACTGGATAAGAATTATCCGAGTTTTTTCTTTTAATAAGGGGCATTGTAGCGTTTTTTATTTAAAGTGTATAGAAAAGATTTCTGTGTTACGCTCCTGTTGTTTTTACCAAAGAAAACAATCGAAATAATATTTCAAGTTTTTTTGACGAGATTTTTAAATGCGTATTAACGCTGGAAATATGTTTTTATCTCTGTGTTGCAATGTTAGGTAAAATAACAAGTTTTTTTTGTCGCCAAAGAGGTATGTTACATGAAGTCCCCTAATATTAAAGTTGTTTTTCGTTATTAGATGAGGGTCAAAAAAAAAGAATATTTGTTTGTTTAGGCAATAAAGGAACATTTAAAAGTTGTTTTTTTTTGTCGATAAGAGGAGGGAATATTTGTTTTGGTTTTAAGTGGCTCGGCGACAGGCTGCAAGACGGAAGGGAAATTTTTGGCAGAGATTCTTGTAAAATGTAACGAAGCAAAAGGAGTCGACTTAGAGATTTCAAACAGGGCAGACATGTGACAATAGAGTCGACTTAGAGATTTCAAACAGGGCAGACATGTGACAATAGAGTCGACATTTAAGTTCCAAGCAGGGCAGACGTGCTACAATGTGAGTCCAAGAACCTATTTGAAACGGTGGTAGACGCTTTTTGCGGATGTGAAATGTTGGGCCATTTTTGAATCAAAGAGGATTCAATTTCTTTTGAAATGTCTTAGGACTGGTCAATGATAATACAATCAGATTTGAATAAATACCGGAAGCTTCTAAGAAGTATGATATAGGATGTCCCCGTAGTCGGCTTATTTCTTCCAATAAGTTCCTGTTCCAATCGTTTTGTCCTGGAATGTAGAACTAGTTCCTGATGGTTGCTGCCTTCCAGTTTTGAAAGTTTTGTCCGAGTAGCTTCCCCAGAGATGTAAAGTTTCAAAGTGTTTATATAAAAAAAAAACATTAAGGTAACAATTCAATATATTAATTTTTCAAAGTAAAGACAGATATTTTTTGGCTAAAGTAATAATTGCTTTCATTCTTTGTCATCAAAATTAAATGTGATACCTGACAGCAAGCTTAATTTGTTTTTTTGTTATGACAATTTTAATTTGATTATTATGTAGAAACGATATTTCATATATAAGGTTAAGTTTATATGTTTTCATTAAGAAGGATCCTTAATTTTTCATAATCTAATTGGCCATAATATAGTAAACAAAGAACATGTAAGTTTTTGTTATTTGTATTATGTTATAGTATTATGTTTCTTTTATAATATGTATTTTTGATCTGTTTTGTTTGAGACAAGAATAAACGTTCAATTTGTTTCTCTGATCTGTTTTGAGTTTTATTTGAAAAAGATATTTTTTCTATATTTTTGATGTTATACAATTATTTCCCTAGTTACAACTAGTGGTTGTAATAGGTATAATTGGGCACCTATATTAAATTTCTTGAGGTGTTTCTGTTTATTTTCATTCTGTTTGTCCAAGAGATTTGTATAAGTACCCCTTTATTTCTTTTTTTTTTGTAGTTGCCCCAATCTAACCCCCAATATCTTCAACTTATCCACGACCAGCTCTCCAACAACCAACTGAGTGTCGTATGCACTTGTTTCCATTATTTTGTTTGCCCAATCTTGTCCCCCATATTCTTACCCTGTGGTAAGCAAAATAGTCGTTACAGTGGTTGAATTATTGAATGCTTATTTCAATGAATTAACTGCAAAACTGTCACTATATTACTGTAGTAATAATTAATCTCCAACTGTATTTAACTTAATAATTCATTTAACTTAATCAATGCCTTCTTCTAGCATTGAATAATCTCTTCATAACCTCATAAATAACTGACTTAATAATCCTTAAATTGTTATAACTAACTCCTCAATAATAGTCTTGTAACTGATTTAATATCTTCTAACTAACTTACTTAACTCAATTAATAATCTTCTTGTAACTAAATTCTTGAATTATAACTTTACTAACTGATAACTGATAACTGAACTGGTAACTGAACTTAACTGAACTGAAATCATAACTGACTGACTAAACTAACTCATAACTGACTGAACTCATAACTCTAACTCAAACTGACTGACTAAACTGAACTCCATGGCTTTTTATATGTTTTTCATTGTTTCCAGAGTATTCTAGCAACAAATAATATTCGAATCATTCTATTTTTTCTATTTGAAAATTCTGGAATGGTTTCCTGTCTGTGATGTATTATGTATACAGTCCCATTGACATTTCTAGAGTTTTCTATCTATACTTTACTTGCCTTTAGGCTCTCCAGATCAGAACTACACTATTATATGTAACTTAAACATTTATATGAAATATATTTTTACTATTCTACATCCACAATTATATTCTAAATTAACATTCCAAAAATAAATAACTTTTTGACTTTGACACTACAGTGTATGTTTGGTTGCATAGCACATGGCTGAATTAAAAATATCTAATATTAAATAAAATAAAAAAAACTTCTTAAATTTAATTCTTATGCTAAATTCTTCAAAATACCCTCATCTAATTATTTTTATAATATTATCCAGTATATAACTTACAAATTATGTCTCTAACCACTATTTAAATAAATCCACTAATCAACACTGTATATCTGGTTGTATATATTTCTAAGTTAATTTATTGTATTTCTGTTTTCATTATAATATATATATATATATATATATATATATATATATATATATATATTTATATATATATATATATATATATATTATATATATATATATATATATATATATAGAATCAATGAACCAATTATTGAAACTTTCTCATTTGTTCAAAGGTCACTGTAGTATATCTAAAAATAAGAGAAATTTTTCGCCCATATATAAATATGGAATTTTCTATATTATATATATATATATATATATATATATATATATATATATATATATATATATATATATAATATATATATATATATATTAGTTTTGAGTTTCTTGATATATATATATATATATATATATATATTATATATATATATATATATATATGATGCTGTCATATTTGTCGACATATAAAGGTGCCTTCAGAAAAATATAGCTATACAGGCTGAATAGACTAAAGTTTATCACTATTCTATACTATATATATATAATATATATATATATATATATATATATATATATATATATATATATATATATAGTATAGAATAGTGATAAACTTTAGTCTATTCAGCCTGTATAGCTATATTTTTCTGAAGACACCTTTATATGTCGACAAATATGACAGCATCAGTTGTTGCGATTGGTTCCTGTCCTGAATAAGTGTGTTCTAAATCACGCTAAGTTAGGTGTCGGTCGATAATGCAGATCCAATGCTTACAAATATTGGCGTCTGGCCGTGTATGTTGCGCTCAACCACATTCTACTTATACAAAACCAAACATCTAGTCCTAAAAGAATACATTTCTGTGGGAAGACATATTTTATGACATACTTTAAGATATTTAAATTGAACATAATAAACAAATACTAGAAAAAAGCTGTTTAATATTTCTATAACATTTTTTTTTCAGATCTGATATTAAGAAAAGACAAGCTCAACGCCCTCACACCTCTACTCGTCAATGTAATCAACGCCACCAAGCCCCTTCAAGATCATTTGGAAATGTCTCCGAATGACCTGAGAGTTGAACATAAGCTTGCTTATCTTCTACCAGACCCGTTATACATCTTATATGTCAACGTCGTCTCGTATAAAGTCGTTTACGACATTAATCTCGATGTGGAGATCATCGGCGACGAAGAGGAAGCTATGCGATGGAAAGATTTAAAAATTGGAATGGGATTTGCCAATGACGATGAGTCCGACAACCAAGAGACTGAACAGGATGCCACAGAAGTAGAGGTATTTTTACATAACATTTCATGATTGCTTCTCGTTAACTACGGCATTCTTTTTCTGCTAGTTCCATGACCGTTATCGATCGTTGCGTCTCAGATTGGCTGCCATATTCACTGTCATGGGTTTATTGACAGCAGCTCTAAATGTATAGATGTAGTCGATGTTCGGTGCCATCGTCTTAAGTTTGTAAGCCATGAGATGCAAAAGTTCATATTTTTCAGTGTGCCTCATAATATGACCGAAGTATTCCAGCTTGCGCTTCTTAATTATGTTGACTAGTTCTCTTTATTCTCTCTTTATTATGTTGGTTAAGCCATCCAAAACCTCTTCATTTCTGACTCTTTCGATCAAGCTTATCTTTAGTAGTTGTCTGTTTCCCATATCTCAGAGGTTTCAAAGTGTTTTAGCATGGCCTCATCTTTTACTCTATATAATAGAACTAGCTGACCCGGCGAACTTCGTACCGCCTTGGAATTAAATAATATGTCAAAGTTCAATAACTAAGAATAAACAAAAATCCAAAGCAAACTACTTCAAAATATTATGTAAGAAAAAAGTTGAATTGATTTAATGTTTCCTAATAAAAAATATTTTTGTTTTTTTGCGGTGCGTAAATGTACCATGTAAATGACTAGGTTGTACAGATATAACAATTTTCATTTTAACTCGAAAGCCAATACTAAGATCGTGCCTGTAAAAAACGTTTCTTATTTTTACAAACGTTGCATTAGTAATATTTGTAGCATTTTTTTCCGGATTTTCAAAATCTATTGCGCCGATGTATAGATTTTGATGTATATCACTGCATCTCTAAATCAGTACTTGGATGCTGAAGAGGCCTTGTGTAAGTGTTTTTTATTTTGGCTCTTGTTGTTTTTGATATATTTGCCTAAATATAAATCTAAATACTACTTTTATCGTATTGTAATTATCCATACGCTAAATAAATAAATATTTGCCTAGGTTGTTATTTGTTCGGAAAGCTGGTGTTATTCCTTTCTTTTTTATGTGTTTGGCTATTTTTGTTGTAATTTTGCCTGTATATGTAATCGAACAGAAGGTACTGGATTTTTCTCTGGTGGTGGAAATACTAATTTCAGGGCTTTCTTGTGTAGTTTTTGATTTAACAGTTTATTAATTGTTTGTTCATTGTATCCTTTGTTTACTGCTATTTGCTTAATTATATTTAATTCTGTCTCAAAGTTGTATTTTGACATAGGAATTTACAAGAGCCAAAATAAAAAACACTTACACAGTGGTGTGTACAAACTTAAATGTGGCGACTGCCCAAAAACTTACATCGGTCAAACTGGTAGAAACTTTAACAAACGAATAGCAGAACATAAAAGGGCTCGCAATAATAGAAAAACAGATTCTACATACGGACTTCACCTTCTAGATCACAATCATTCTTTTAACGACGAATTTAAAATTCTTCACATTCAAAATAAAGGCCTTAAGCTATACTTGTTAGAATCTATGGAAATCAACAAATTAAGAAACACAGATATAATTCTGAATGACCAACTTGAGACAAACAGTTCTCCCTCCTCAACCTATTTCATTAGAGACTATAAAGTGTAAACGCATGCCAAAAATAGATCATTTAAGAAAGGCAATCAGCCGAAACAGCTGTAGTGATAAGAGTTAAAATAAATTGTTGTGGAAGTTTGAAAACAAATTTTTCAGTGTTTTATTGTTACATAAAATGAATTTCCATCAAGTAACGGTCGAATCCATCAATGATACAAATTTTATTTAAAAAATTTAAAATCTCTGGTCGCTTTAAGCGTTGTTTCTGAGAGAACGGTTCATTCTACACAAAAAGTGCTAATAAACATTTTTGTTAAACATTATCTCAGCTCCATTTTTTGTTAGAAATATTTTTGTACGTCGTACAGATTCTTGGCAAATCAATGTTTTTCGTTCGCCCAAGGGGATTTTAGTACAAGTCTGGAGGGAGCATTTTTTTGATTGCAGCTTTAAATTCCACCATAAAAAGGTGTCCGCTGTTTTAGCAATTATTCTACTTTGCAGTTCTTACTTAATGTAATATAACTTATATCCCTATTAGTAAACTGCCTAAATACACGCAGTTTATTTTTGAAATAAATCCAAAAGTAACAGAATGGATTTAATTCAAATTAATTTTTTTTTTAGGAAGTCGTGGAAATTAAAAAACGACGTCACAGGAAATCGGTACAACAGATAGACCCAATGGAAGAGAAAAGAAAAAAGCTTTTAGAATCACATCCCTTACAGGTTCAAATGGTGGCAAAATTGAAGGATGGTCCTTTGCTGACTATCAAGTTTTCCTACCTAATAAAATTAAAAATAATTACAGTCATGTCCAGCACGAACTGCTCTGCATGTAAAATAACTGGCAATTCAGCTAGAGAAGTGTTAACCGGAGAGAACCTTCTAAGTGAGTTGGTAGAAAATGATAATGGTCTAGAAAGTCCAAATCCAATAACGAAATTTCAGATTAAAAAGATCGGTCTTACTTCTTTTCAATCGTTAGTACCACAGATCGGATACGCATACCATTGGGCTCAAAGAATATGCGGAAGAGATTTTCTCAATAAAAAAGTAAGTACTTACAAGTTTCTTATGAAAATTTAAATTAAATATTTTTTTTATGACCGTTTTATAACATGCTTATTATGCACTATTTTTGAATAGATAATAAAATCCATTTAGTACTTTACCCGTGAGCAATAGTTTGTTACTCACAGGTTTAATTCATTCAGTTATGCATTTCACCAACTGAGTTGCTGAAACTAATAGAGGATGATAACGTAAAAGTAGTAGTAAGACTTTTTAATTCAATATATAACACCGGAGTGATTCCCACATATTGGCTCAAATCCATCTTTGTCGCAATACCTAAAAAACACAATGCGAGACAATGCTCAGAATATAGATTAATAATTAGCCTAATGGGCCACACTCTTAAAATTTTCCTAAGAATACTTCACAACAGAATTAGACGCAAATGCGAAGATCTCGAAGATGCCCAATTTGGTTTTAAAAATGCTATGGGAACCAGGGAGGCACTTTTTGCGCTTAACATTCTATTACAAAAATGCCGTGACCAAAGAAAAGATGTATTTACATGTTTCGTGGACTTCGAAAAGGCATTCGATAAAGTACAGTACGTACAATTAATGCAAATACTGAAACATATCGGAATAGATGACTGGATAAAATTTGTACTGGAGTCAAATTGCTATCGTAAAAATTGGAGATAACTACACCGATGAAATCTCCATACAACAAGGAGTCAGACAAGGTTGCATTTTGTCGTCAACATTGTTCAATGTTTACTCGGACCAGTTATTTAAAAAGGCACTTGAGAGACAACTATATGGAATAAAAATTAACGGGGAACTACTTAATGTGATTAGATATGCAGACGATACAGTAATTCTGTCAGATAATATTTAAGGTCTCCAAATTCTGCTTGATCGTATTCACGAGGTAGGAGAGGAAATGGGCATTAACATAAACTCAAACAAAACCAAATTGTTAGTGTTTAGTCGTGACCCACATCCCGATGCAAAGCTTCAAGTAAACGGAGATCAAGTTGAGAATGTTCACAAAATGACATATTTGGGAACTGTGATAACGGACCAACTAGATCCAGACATAGAAATAAAACGTAGAATAGCAATGACTAAAAGTAATTTTATGAAAATAAAGTCATTTCTTTGCAATACTCATCTGAGTTTAGAACTAAGACAAAGAATGGTTAAGTGCTATGTTTGGTCCGTACTTTTGTTTAGTGCAGAAGTGTGGACGCTAAAAGTATCGATCATGAACAAAATTGAAGCATTGGAAATGTGGGTTCATAGACGAATGCTGAAGATACCTTGGACAGCAAGGAAAACTAATGAAGAAGTACTAAGTAGCGTCAACAAAGATAGAGAACTGCTAAAGACTGTTAAACATCGAAAAATGTCTTATCTGGGACATATAGTATCGATATAAAATATTACAACTGATCCTTAAAGGCAACATAGAGGGCCGTAGAGGTGTAGGAAGGAAAGGGGTTTCTTGGTTGAGGAACATTCGTGAATCGACTCAGATATCAAATTCGGGACAATTATAATAATTATACGTCGGATAATTCTGATATGGGACGCGAAGAAGAAGATGCATTCCTCGTGACATACGTGACAGATAGATAAGATCGAAACAGACTACGTTACATGAGCTTGAAAGAAAAATCAATAAATAAAGGAGTTTATTATTAATTGTAAATCATTATTATCGAATAGGTTATAAATATTCATAAATATAATGAGTATAAAAGATATATTATAAGAGCAATTTTAGTTCGGCTAATGGATTAAGTCCACAGTCAAAAGAAACCAAGAGCACACACACACATTGGGAATTAATATATTAGATTATATGTATCAATTAGATCCAGACTTAAAGGATCATTTTAATAAAGCAACAGTATTTAATAGGACCTTTAAAAGTATACAAAATGAACTATTAGACTGTATTCTTGGCGTTTACTATAAGGAGGTGACTAAAGAAATAAACAAATCAAATTATGTAACTGTAATTACCGATGAAACTACAGATGTTGCTACCGAATTTCAGTTAATTAAGTTAATTAAGGTAATTAAGTTAATAATTTCAGCTAAGTTCTAACGGAGCGTCATTAATGAGCGGAGGTGTAAATGGGGTACAAATAATTAAAGATAAATATCCATTTGAAAACTATGTACCGGGTGGTCCAATAAGCCGATCTCTCGGCTATATATCAGAAACTATTCATGTTATAACTTTAGGAGAAAAAATTCCTTAATAAAAGTGGCCAAAAGAAATCGCTGGAAATAACTTTCAAGTTTTTGGTTTAACCGCTAGGGGGCGTAACCTGTGAAGAAAAATTTAAAAACCAGTTTTTTGGGAAATATGTCCAATTATACCAAGTGTTAAATAAGTAAACTAGAAAGAGGCATAAATTCTGCACAAAGTTGTTCAAGTACTTTTTTTTATTTTTTCAAATAAAGGGTGGGGGAGAGTGGGAAAGTATTTGTGGATAAATACCTATAACTTTGGTTTGGACCAACCGATTTTAACAAAATTAGTGTCATTAGAAAGAGTATGGATGAATTATAAAATAATTGCATTTAGTTTTAATTGTCGTAGGTAGAGAGTACTTTTGAATAGAAAAAATTAAAATTTGTTTTTCTTCAAAATTTTTAATGAAAACACCTATTTCTTGTAAATTATAATGGAACTGGATTAAATTCGTAACAAAATGGCGCAAACCGCATATTAATAGCTTTTATCGAACTCGAGATATGAATAAAAACGCATAAACATAAGTAAGTATAGTATTGACACACCCTGTATTATAAAATAAATTAAAAAATAAGTCAGTAGGTACTTTCAAAATTTTTTATAGCAGAAAACTCTTAATGTTAATACCTATTTTGACCATTGTTATTTCATATGATTAAAAATTGTTTTTTCGAAACTAAGTAGGCTACGACAATGAATTTGACAGGGAGTTCATATTGTTTATTTATTGACAGTAGTCAAAATATTGTTAAGAAGTGTTATATGTATTATAATTCGAATTGAAAATTGCATTTTTTTCAATAGATATTAATATTGGTAATATTAGTAATTAATTATCAGTACTAATAATTCGTGATGAGTATATCAAATTGTATGATATGATTGGAGTTTATTTCGAATGTCACCAAAATGGCGCTATTGCCTCACGTATAGTATCAACCCCAACTGTACTAGAACCCCAAAATGGAAGCCCATATCGAAGATGGGACTCGAACAATGAGAAATATGCCATTTTGGCAGAAGATAAATTTAGTTCCTTCGAAACAGATCTTATTGCAAAGCAAGCTGAGGCTAGTTTCTTCCTTAAGGAGTCAGTATGCAAGGACCATTTGAGATCACTGTCAATGAGAATACCTAGAAATTTCACGGAATTTACGATATTGATTTGGCTCTCATTCAAAAGCAAGGGTTGCATGACTCCTTTATAAGATAATGCTACAGTCTTATCCACGTTAAAGCTAAGTAAGTTGGAGTCTGACCAAGCCTTGATTATAAGTAAATCAGCGGTTATAATTGAATGAAGCGTTGAAATATCAGAGCTGCTCCAAGTAATACTGGTATCATCAGCAAATAGAAAAATTTTCCCTTTAATTTTCAAGTAAGTGATGTCATTAATGAAAAGTAAAAAAAGAATGGGACCTAATACTGAACCTTGCGGTACTCCACACTCAATATCTTTACAACTAGAGTCGGTGTCATTTATTCTAACCAATTGTTTCCTACCTACCAAGTAAGTTTTGAACCAGTTCAAAGACACACCCCGAATTCCATAGAAAGTTAATTTTTTTAATAGAATGTCGTGATTTACGCAGTCAAAGGCTTTGGAATAGTCGCAGAAAACGGTGGCGGAGGAGAGGTTACTGTTTAGTGATAGATATACATCATGTAACACAGAAAATATGGCATCACTAGTGCATTTATTAGACAAAAAGCCGAACTGATTTTGCGATAAAATATTATATTTAAGGAGAAAGGGCATAAGTCGAACTTTTATAAGTCTTTCAATAATTTTTGATAGTGCTGGTAACAAGGCAATAGGTCTATAGTTGCAGGCATCAGATTTTTCTCCACCTTTATGAAGAGGAATGACGATGGCAGTCTTTAGGCAGTTAGGGAATGTACCTTTTTCAAGGGAATCATTTACTAGCGAGACCATGACCTCCAAAACATTATGCGGTAGATTTGAGAAAATTTTAATAGATAATCCATCTGTACTACAGGACGATGTGCTTTTTATACTACGAATTGTTGAAATGAGTTCCGTCTTATCAACTGGTCTTAAAAAGAAGGTATCAGCAATGTTTTTTGAATTAGAGAGATAGGAAACTGGATCTTGTTGTGGCGAAATAGTTGAGGTTATATTTTTACTCACATTAACAAAGTAATCATTTAGATTTTCGGGGTTAGGAAAAGAAAAGGTTTGATTCGCTGTACTGGTTTTATTTCGAAAATCGTTTATTATTGACCAAGTTTCTTTTGAAATATTTTTGGAGCTTGTTAAGCGATTATGAAAGTAGGATTTTTTGGCTACTTTGAGTAGTTTTATATAGCATTTTCTGTACTTGTTGATATAATCAGAGATGGGGATACTGTCATTAAATTTTTTAATATATAGCAGAGAACGCATATTTTTCGCAGATATGCGAATGCCTTTGGTAATCCAAGGTTTGTTATGTTTTGGCCTGATGTTTAATAGAGGAAATGCTTTATTAAAAATAGATACAAGTCTATTTAGAAAATCAATAACATTACAGTCAATGTCCCCAGAAGAAAACCTCCAGTCAGAAGTCAAGCATGAATTATAGAATTTACGAAAGTTTTGAGTGGAAAAAATCCTACCTAATCGTCGGGTTTTTGAGTGAGGTGTTTGTAAACTGCTAAACTTGGTATATACCGCTTCATGATCAGAAAGCCCCCCACTAATAACTAGAATGGACGTCAGCGGGTGGAAAATCGGAAACCACATAATCAATTGTCGAGGATGATGTTTTTGAGATTCTTGTTGGAGAATTAACGTGCATTGTGAGACCATATGATTCAAAAATAGTTACCAAAGACAGTTGGGTCGCACAAACAGCAGCGTAGTCAATATTAAAATCACAACATAAAATTTTTCTGCTTTTAATGGGCAGAATATCTAACAAGTTTAGCAGGCTCTGAAAAAATAGTTCAGTATCAGAGCTAGGTGATCTATAAATGCAAATAATGTATAGATTAAATTTTCGTATTATAAATCAAAGAAAATTCGAAGTAGTTTTCACCCAGCAAATAGTCATATTTCGAAACTGAAGAAAAATCATTGTTATTTGAAAGAATCAGAGTGCCACCATGAGCTGAACTTGGACGATCATACCTAGCAATTGTGGTATATTCTTGAATGAAAATTGGCTCATTAACTTCAAGCCAGTGTTCCGTCACTGCAACTAACTGGGGAAACCCTAATTCTTCCAGAAACAAAAATAATTCGTCTGTCTTATTTCTAATCGATCGAATATAAATAAGAACCATGCCTTCAGTCTTCAGTTGGCCAGAAAGAAGACATTTAGCGATCTTATCTCCAACATTCAGACAAGTTTTAAAATTAATTTTAACTTACATAATACTGCTGTAGACTGATTAATTTTTAACTGAATTAAAACTTATCACTTTATCTTGGTTGAACTGTTGTACTTTATTCGTAGTACTTCATACACTACATTATCGATTTCCCCATATTTCCTACGGGCTATGTACCTAATTGCGACAAAGACTGAAAACAGGTCAAGCCTAAGCGGGGCTCCATGTACTCTCACGGCTGTCAATCTCGAAGTCCCCGATGACAAAATTCGGACTTCCACAATGAAAGCGAACGTTTCTCTTGGCCGCTCCCCGAGAAGTGAAATCATCACCCAAAAATAATTTTCTTGCCAGCATAACCGAAAAGATTCTTATTTATTTTCTACGTAATTATCTAGGCGGAACCAATATCAAACGAAAAATATTTAGATTTTCAATCTCAGAATCAGAATCGCAAAAATATTAAAAATCCTTTTCGGTTTTTATGATATACGGGTTGATACGAAAATGCTACAGTGTATTATCGTTTGTTATGAGGGAACCGACATAGGTAAGCTTATTTACTACCTCAAAATTGTAGTGGTCTATAGTTGATCCCAATTAGTTATTAAGTTGTTATTATATTTAGTTATTACATTTCATTTAGTTATTAGTAAAAAATTTTCATATTTATAGTCACAGCAGAAGACTCACTCTATTTATATACCTTACAAGGGGGTGTCCGTTATACAAAATTCTCCTTACAATTTCATAATATTTTCTTACCTTTTAAATCTTCATTGGACTTCATATCAAATATTTCAAAATCAAAGTTAGCCAAATGCAGTCGTTTTCGAGTTATAAAAGAAAATAAAATGACAATGCTTTTTTTCCCCTGTACTTATTAAAGTAAACATTATGGAAGTTTTCAGGGACTTTCGGCCCTCGGTAATAATGTATTCTTTCATTCTGCGTTTAAATTTTTCGAAAATATTTATTAGTTTTCTCAAAATTGGGAAAAAATGAATACATTTAAAAAGCATTGGCCCGAAATTTTGCGCCTACGCTCTTAAAAGTCATTTTATTTGTATAATGAATGTATATGTATGTATGTTATGTATATTACTGTATACCGCAAGGTTACTGCTGCATGCGTCTCGATATTTCACGACACCTAAACATTATTTCGGGCCTGCGCAAAAACCCAATACCGAGCGATAATAAATAATACAATTACTTTATTCAATTTTAAAAATATTTAAAATTTAAAAATACAGAAAATAGTTTGAAGCTTCGTACTAGTCTACAGTATCGCCTATTGTTCTTTTTTTAACTCTAAATAACGCCTAAAGTTTAAATAAAACTTACCCAAACTTATACCGCCATCGCCACTCAAATAAGAACAGTACATTAATAGTCGCAGCGGACTCGCACTCCGCAAACACTAACACTACTCATAGTAATGAACTCATTAAAGATTTGATACGCACTAAAGCCAGACACTAGCAATGCCAGAAGGTACCTAGAATCGCCAACTAATCTGAGACAAAACTATTAAAATATTAAATATAAAAACTAGTTTTTCGCGCGAGAGAGTCTGCGCGCGACGACGGCATGGTTATGGGATCTTTCTTGTTTTCGTCAGCCATTTAGATTTTCAGGAAGTGTAATGGGGTGGTTTTTCCTTTGCCGTCCCCATGATTTTCTATTAGAGTTTTCTCTCTTAGGCAATCTGCTCTAGTTTTAAGGCGCCGGAGACTCACCTGCATCCCCGTCCGTTAGTTACATACAGTGCGTTAAGTTTTTGATTAGGTATTGCACACTATACGGAGCGCTAAAATCGGCAACGTTGCAAATGTTCGTTCTCCGACCCGAAAATCTACACCGACAGAAAATCATTTATTTTAGTTTAGTAACTCACAACAACGTTAGGGATGTACTTCTCTGTCGTCCGATTTCATGTTTCATTACGTAAAGCCGATTTTAATAGTAGGAAATTCGATAAAAATGCACTGAAATAATCGGTGCATTGTTATCGATTTTTATTAATGTGAAAATTTTTTTGTGGTTGAATTAAAAATAAAAGCGTATTTCTTTAAAAAGATAAAATAAAAAATATACTCTTATTGAAAATTAAAATATTATTCCTAATAAAATAAAAAATAATTCTTTATGACCTACAGAAATGGTTCAAATAGTTGACCTTCTACGGCTGAACAGTACCCCAATCTGTCATAAAAACTTCTGCGAACAGATGAAAGAGTTTCTGCTGTAACAGAATTGGAGACTTCTCTTATTCGATTTTTTAATTCATCCAAATTTTGGGCTCTAGCCTCAGGATGAGCGTAGATAATGCTTTTTAAATGTCCCCAAAAAAAGAAGTCCATGGGTGTAAGATCTGGAGATCGCGCAGGCCACTTAATATCGCCTGTTTCACTGATAACTCGATTCGGGAAAGTATTGTTTAAATACTCCCTAATAATTCGAGCGTTGTGAACTGAACAGCCGTCTTGATGAAACCAAACATTCTCCAGATTTACATCAGGAAGATTGAGAATAGCGGGAAGAACATGATTCTGTAACAAATCGAGGTATACTCTACTATTCAAGTTGCCCTCAATAAAAAATGGACCTATTATGTGGTCTCCTAAAATGCCAGTCCAGACGTTAACTTTTTGAGGACGTTGAGTTCGGTAAACAACACTTCTGTGCTGGTTTTCCCGCGCCCAATACCTCGTAATGGAAGGATTGTGTCTCCCTACTAACGAAACAGAAGATTCATCAGTGAATAAAATGTTTTTAATAAAATTTGGTTCACTATTAGCCTTCGTTATTAGAGTTTCACAAAACTCCATTCTTCGAAAGTAATCGTCTGGATAAAGCTGCTGCGTTTTTGAATATTTAAAATTCTTGTAACCGTGCTTTTTCCATACTTTCGTTACAGTAACATTGCTAACATCTAACTCTCTAGCAACGCTTCTACTTGAACGTATTGAATCTACCTCGATTGTTGCACAACTTTGTGTATCCCGGTATTCTTTCCTCAACTTTTTCTGGTAACACTTCTCGAGCGTGACATTTTCTGCAATTTTTGAGGCAATAACAACTCTCAAAATTTTTAACAATATTATAAATTGACTGTACACAAGGAATTGGTCTTCCCTCAAAAAACACAGAAAATAAATCTACACACTGTTGCGCAGAATTGCCACTATAAAACCATTTTATTATTTGAGCTTTTTCCGCGGCCATATAAACAGACATGTTTACAAAAATAAATTAAAACTCTACGCTGTTATACCTTTAAACAACCACGGTATAATGACAATATGACAAATTTGCCGACGGGCGACGAGCAAGTCGACGACGCGCAGTGTTGCCATTTATAGAGTGTATACCTAATCCAAAACTTAACGCATTGTAGCACACATCATTAGTGTATTTCCCAGGGACCACGGCGTGGACGTGTAAGTAGGATTTTTTTGCACACTTTAGACAAACTGACTGAATACCATTTTCTAATTCTATTTTACTGTATCATTAACTCTAAAAACGAGAGACAAACTTCCGTTTACTCGAATTTAAATATATATGTTTTATATAAGAAGTTTTTAATTAAAGCAAGAGGGGTTTTTTAATTTTTAAATCATATAGCAGTCTGATGACTGGTTCACGTTAAGATGTGCCAAAGGCTCTTTCGATGTTATAAAATATTTCAATTCGGTTTTAGTAATGAAGCTAGTGCTTCATGTACTATAGTTCTAGGTCCATTATGTGTAATATTAATCTATTTTGTAAAAAGCCACTTTGTTGAATAGAGTATGGACTGAGAAAACCTGCATTTTAGTATCCGTGTGCAAACCTACTTAACTTTACTTTTTTTTCTCAAAATACTGGGAAATATGTTACTAGTGTTTTTTGTTTTTTTTTTGTTTATGAATACAGTATTTTTTGTTTTAGATGGATTCGGATGAATTAGGCAGAACTAATGTTGAAATTATAATGAAAATAATATTTAAAAGATTGGAATCTCGCTATCAGTTAGCCACCCAATTACAACAACTAGGTAAGTTTAAAAAAAGTTACACATTGCTTTAATACTATCATCAGTAATATCAGTTAAAACAAAAAATATGTAATCAAGCTGATTGTTGGTACGAAAGTGTACTAATTTACTTGTATTTTAAAAAAATATAGAAATGAATTGGGGAGGTGGTGATCAGAAGTAATACGATTTAATTGGAGTTTTTATAGTTCTGATATAATTAGCTTATAAGGTATTTTAGGAGTACAGTATACAATATTCTAAAAAATGATAAAACTATTTGGGTATATAGTTAGTTTTGATTTATCCTCCTCTTGTTATAATTAAAAAAAAAACGTACTTGAACCGATACTTAGTTATCAAATATTACTAGTAAAATGGTTCAAATGCAGATATTAGTAATAATTTTTAAACTGGTCAACTTAACTTTAAGGTATAGTATCATTCGAAATCTGACTCCAATAACATTCTCGTTGTTTCTGCCTGCAGCTGATACTGGTTTTGCAGTTTAGCCGTTGATGTTCCAGTGTATTTCAAATTTTGGTAAAAGGAGTCGTGATGTAAGGGTATATCCAAAATATTCTAACGGCTACCTTAATATTATACTATATATATGTTCATTATATGTGATATTTTTTTATTTGTAGAGCAAAATAGTATTCCTACAATTCCCAAACCTGCAGATTCTCCAGTCAGCTTTACATGCGCTATTTCCAAATGGGCTGCAATATCATATCAAAAGTATTGTCAGTTGGAATTTACCAAAACATTTCTTGAAGAGGAACTTGTGGAACCTTCCGATTTATTTTATTCCCTTCAGATATCTAGAGGCAGTGGTAAGTAAAATGTTAATAAGTAATTGCGGATATTCTAAAACAACAATCTTTGATAAGTAATTCTCTGGATATGACTATTACGCAGAAGGAACGGATTCGATATCTGGCTCCAATGAAAAAACCTATAAAAAAATTCATGTGAAAAATTTAGTGTTACCTTTATGGGAGGCTAGGTTGCCATTTAATAGCTTCGGACGCAGAAAAGATAGTGTCGCACTGGCTCCCATATATACACATTTAATTATAGAATATAGCTTTTAAAACTAAATAACATTATAATAGAGCAAGTCATTGAAAATATCAAATTCCTAAAATGGCTAAGACCAACACTACAGTAAATTCAACTTCAAGCTACGGACGATGGAAACAAATGCACGCTGGAAACACGCGTTTTTTCAGGGCCGGACTAGTAAATTAAAGCTGCAATACAAAACCTTATATAATTTGTAGACGTCTGACAGGTACAGATTATAGTACACCAATTTTTTAAATATAAAAATGATTTACAAAGTCGAGAGTTATTAACAACAAAATAAAGTATACAAAAAAAAGTTTATACAATTACCGTATTTTATCTTAACTTTCAGAATCTGATGTACTGCTGTCATCATTAAAGTTGATAATGATAGGCTCAATTTGTGCCTCAATTAAATTGTCCAACTCCCACATTTTTGGCTCCACTTCATCTTTTATATGTTGTCGCAGTTTTTCCATTTTTTCCATGGTTACAGCAGACATAGCTTCATGGAATAAATTTTTAATGTCAGCAAATTTAAATGTTGTGTTATGCCATGCTACATAATTCTTGACTTCCGCCCATACAAGCTCGATTGGATTGAGCTCGCAGTGATACGGTGGCAACCTTAAAACTATTCTATTTGTGCTTCTTACCAGTTCATCTACTATGTACTTATTATATTCGCCTTTATGTTGTTTAACGATTTCTAAAAGTTGCACCTTTAACATCGTTTCTTCAAAGGGAATGTCTTTTGAGCGAAGCCAATTTTGAATATCTGCCTTTTTTGTAACCATAATGGGAATTTTTTCCAATTTTCTGGAATGGTAAGGGGGATTGTCCATTACAATTATAGCATTTATATCCAGTGTTGGTAAAATCTTTTGGAGCCAATTTTCAAATGACTTTCCATCCATCTCCTCATGATAGTCTCCACTCTTGCTTGACTCAAAAGCCCACAGTGCATCCGGAACAAAAACCATTCTCGCTTCCGATGTGACAGATTATAAATCGTTTACCTTTTCCTAAAAGTGATATTAAAGATAATAAATAAAAAATTTAAGTTTATTAAAAGTTTATTTGAATTACCTGAGGGATTTCTTAAGCCGGTCGATAGCCCATCCAAAAATGCACGTCTTGCAGAAGTCAAAGAAGCATCCACCCAAACTTTTGGTTTTGTATGGCCAGCATTTATTCATATTTCGTCCAGTGGCGAAGTTGATGAAAAATTTTGGGTAGACAATTTTAAAGGAGTAATCCTTATTTCAGGAATGAGGAAAATAAAACAGATTATTTTTTAAATATTTTATTTTTATAAACAAGTAAACACAACAAAAACATGGAGACATTTTTTAAAACAAAAAATAAACTTAACTATAATGTTTATTCGCTAAAACAATAAATATTAAATTTTGTTATATATTAAGTCAATTTTTCTATTTTTATTATTAGCAAAATAGTTAATAATTTGTTCTTTCATTTCTGGAGTAATTGAGTGCACCATATCCTTTTCAATGCTTAAAGTGGATAATGAGGAAAGTCTTTCAGTAGTCATTGAATTCCGCAAATATGTTTTAATTCTTTTTAAAGTGCTCATAGATCTTTCAGATGAGGCCGTTGTTACAGGAATGGTCAAAAATAATTTTAGTAACTTATAGCAGTCAGAAAATACTTGTGTTAACTTGTTGTCAAAAATATATGAAAAAAGATGGTAAGGTTCTAAATGTTTTTGTTCATCTGAATAAATTACAATCAACTCGTTTTCTAATTTTCTTATATCAAAAGTTTCAGGATATACTTTATCTAGAACAACTAAGAGATTTTTTGGAAATTGTTTATTATAATTTACGAAACTGTATTTGTTTAGTAAGTTGACGAAAAAGAGTAAATGGGTGTCTTCGAATATTTGTTGTAATTGCGTACAGATTGTATCTATAATAGTATTTCAAAACCTATTGTTTAAAAATTTTTTACTGTGTTAACATCAAGAGTTGTTTGAAGTATGTTGGTGCACTCATTTACGCATATTTCAATTGTATTGTCATTTCTCAGATTTTTAATATTTTGTGTCATTTTATGTATTTCTTCGACACATAAGCCTAGATAGGTGCATTATATGTTGGGCAAATTAATTTATCATTTTTTATCTCGTTGGAATGTAAAACGTGAATAATTTTTTCTGCTAGACCATTTGCTGTTTTATCACTAGACACGTCATAAAATCCCATAAATTTTTCACATATGTCTTTTTTGTACACATACCTTAATATTACACTAAACTGGGATTTGCAGGATACATCAGTTGTTTCATCAGCCTGAACAGATATAAAGTCCGCTTCTTGCTAATCTTTAAAACTTTTCAGTCTGATAATACATTCCACCGATTCTATCAACTGATTTTGAATTTCGCTGGATGTACCTTTAAAAATATTACTGGCTTCTAAGTGATCACGCATATTAGATTCTTCCAGAGCAAGTAGATCTAACAGATCTAATAGCAAGGCGTTCGTCACGTGTAGACTCGAATATCACGCGGTGACTTGTGTTGATTCTGTCCGTAACTTGAAGTTGAATTTACTGTAGTGTCCAAAAAATCATCAAAATTAAACACACCAATAATAAGAAGTAGGACAAAATATAAAATAACAAAGATAGTTGAAGATTTCTACAAAACTTTGTACAGCTCGCGGAAGCGAGCCTAATGAATTAACAAAAGCAAACGTCAAAATAAAAATAAAAAACGTAGGTTCAGAGGTACTACCAAATATGGAGGGATTCGAAATAGAAAGAGCTTTAAAACAGCTAAAAAATAATAAAGCTCCAGGAAACGACAATCTGGCTAATTTCTAGTTTTCCGTACTGCTCTTCGATCTCTGCATTTGTCTGTCTCCTCCAAACGTCTTCATAGTCTTTTAGTCCTCCTAATATATTTCTTAAAACACTTCGTTCCCATATTTTTTTGATTTTTGTTCATAACCCATGTTTCGTTTCCGTACAGCACCGTGGGTTGGATCGCTGTTCGGTATAGTCTCAATTTTGTCTATATGGAGATGTTTTTTGCGCTTAGTAGTTTGTGTAGAACTCCTACCATCTTCTTTCCTGTAATCTTTCCGCTTCTCAATTTCTTGGCTTTCGTCCTCTTTATTTGTTAGGGTTACTCCTAGATACTCAAAACTCCGTCACTTTTTTGAAGCAATATTCTTTACGCTCGTAGTTTGTGGTAGTCTTTAGTTTTGTGTCTTTATATGTGGTCTGTCCCATTTCCATATACTTTTTTGCTCATTAATAATCAGTCCATACTGTTTCAGCCTTTGCTTCAAAGAGTTTAAAAATCCTCAGAAGTTCCCCTTTAGTTCTACATCGTCCGCAAAGGCTGGCTTCTGTTGTCATAAATCATACATTTTGGTCATATTCTACTCTCTATCATCATTGCCTCCAAGAAATTGAAGAGTATTGTGGACGCGGATCTCTATGCTTAAGTCCGCTTCTTACTTCAAATTTTCCTTCTATCATTACTCCATTTTCGGTCTTCATTAAGGTCATTTTACTAGTCTGATAATCTTTTCCGGAATTCCAAGTACTCTTAAGCCGCGTTTTCACGATGGCAATTGGCGAGACAATTGTCAGAAGACAACTGACTGGCATGAAATTATTGTCTTCGTGTAAACACTTCAGGCCAATTGCCTTGCCAACTGCCCTCACAATTGGCCCAAAATTCAGTTGTCTCCGGGAGTAGACTGAGGACAATGAGCTGCGCCCAGTTAGCCCCTCCACCACTCGAAATCTCAATTGTCGCGACAATTGGTGCCGTGTGAACGCTGTAGGCCAGTAGTGCTGCCAGTAGTAATTTGTGTTATTTGGGTTAAATTTAATTTTCGTACAATGAACATAACCTATAGATATGTTTGACGTTAAATGTAAGCTTAATATACGTCAGTGTTGACATATACTCAATTATTTCACACTCTCATATATAAAATTATAGGCAAGATTTATATATATGAAATGAAAATTTAAAATTTAAAAATACATATATAATTAAACAAAAACGTGAAAAATACATATATAATTAAAAGCCTTAAAATTATACCTATAAATATTATAAAATAAAATTATATCTTACATTTAAAATACTTATATAATAAAAACCATTAAAATTATGCTTAAGGTAAAAATTAATAGTTTAGAAACTTTAAAAACTACAGAATAAAGTAAAGTTAAATGAAAATAAAAAAATTAGGTTAAACATAAGAATACACTAAATACTTAGCTATATTTAAAGTAAAAAATACTATTTTATGAATGCTTTTTAATATGAATTCAAAAATTGTGGCTTCTCATAACAAAACATTATATAAAAATTAATGGGAAAGTCCCAGTAGTTGGCTGTATACCATCGTTTAAAAAACTTATACAGAAGTAAAACACTTCACATTTATCTAAGTATATACCTAAATACAAGTGTGAAGGATTTTACTTCTGTATAAGTTTTTTAAAACATTATATACAATTTCGTCAAAGTATCTTTCTATTTTAAAAACTCCTATACTTTATACAAAAAAATGTGGCAACACTGTGACGCACAAACATATAGTTGTCATGTTTTAGCTGTCTACTGTCATGGCAATAGTTGGCCCCGTATAAACATCTTCTCGTTCAACTGGACTGGCCTCCGACAATCCGAAACCACGTGATGACAATTGCCCAATGACAATTGTCTCGCCAATTGCCATCGTGAAAACGCGGCTTTAGGGCATGGTACAGACGGCTTCTTATCACAGAATCGTAAGCTGGTTTGAAATCTATAAAGAGTAGGTTTAGCTTTCACTATTGCTCATACACATTGCTTTGAATCATTTTTAACACGAATATTTGATTTATGGTGCATCATCCTTTGTAAATCCTCTCTGGTATTCACCAACCTGCTCTTTTGAGCGCATTTGAAGTCTCTGATGCTCTGCTTCTCTTTGACTCTTTGCTTCTTATGGTTTTCGCACACTGCTTTATCTCTCTTTTTATGAGTGGGGCATGCTACTTCCACTCTCTTTACTTTCAGCATTTCCTCTCGCTTCCAGATTTTCGTCTAGGAGGCTACATATCCGCGTTATAAGTGCATCTTTGAATAGTCCTGCAGGAATACCATTTCTGTCTGCTCTTTTATTGTTTTTCATGCTATATGATTTCTCTTATTTCTCTTACATACTCGGTAGGTCTGAGTATAGGTCGTAATCTATTTCCATACCACTAAGGGGCAAGGGTAGTTCAAGTTCAAGTTCACCTCACCCCACACATTTTTTTATTTTTTGGACAAAACTTTATTTTGTTATGATGTGGCATTAAAAAATACATACAGCTCTGAATTTTCACCCTTCTATCACACTAATCCCTATTTTTAATAACCATATTAGGATCACAGAGTTAGTTGCCATACTCCTTCTAAACAGCTTGACCGATTTTGATGAAATTTTATATGTATATTCCGTTGAATATACTACTCTGAATTTTATTCAAGGGAAGTCGTTTTCATTCAAATCAGTTGACACAGTTATAAATTAGGATGACGTAGTCAACTATCCTACAGAGTTTTTGAATTCATTGGAATTGCCTGGGATCCCAACTAATAATTTACAATTAAAAGTAAGATCATTTGACAATATGCTGCGTAACATTAATCAACCTCGACTGTTCAATAAAACAAGACTGATTGTTGAAAGGCTAATGAATAATATCATTGAAAAACTTATTTCGTTCATAATATGTTTGAGTATTTTTTTTGGTTTTTTTTTTCTTAATTTTTAGACACTTATTTAATTCTAAGGCGGTGCGAAGTTCTAGTTTTAAACTAGATGTGTTACGAGATCATATTGACTAATTGTTGCACAAGTTCTTTTTTTGAAGTCAATATTAACTAGAGTTCAACACATAAAAACATCAATTTGCAACAAATAAGGTATACAACTATGTTATACAAATAAACATGTTTGAATATAACAGCAACAAGTTTATTAATAATGTAAATATTCTATACAATAAACGTACATGTTTATCAATATCAATGTAAACGGTGTATAAAATTTCTACTTGGTTGTTATAGTTCTACTTCTAATTGATAGCAGGTTCTACCGGCGCTGACAAGAGTGCAAGCGACGTTTTCTTGGACAGGCAGGAACCAAAAGTGATTTTGCAACACGGGTCTCTTGCGGGCAAGGCGACCATATTCCGAAAATAGAGGTAGGGGCTACCATTAGCTGTTCTACTATTAGAAAATGTCGTTTAATTCTTGCAACGAGTGGTGCGTTCTGCTAATTTAATTCGTACTATCAGAAATCAGATGGGGTTGTCGGCGCGACGTAGAAATAACTTCCATTTAATATTTAATTAATATTTATATACAGTTGCAAAACTGCAACAGTATGTATTTGCCGTTTAAGCGGTTGTATGTAGAGTAAAAATAATTAAGGTTATTTTTGTTTCAGCCTCCCTGGAAGCATTTATCGTGATTAAAAGCAACTACCCAAGTACTTTGCCTATCATTTCAGTTTGTGTTAATTATAATGGAGTACACCATTCAGAAAATGATGATGAAATAAGAGTAAGGAAACACTTATATACCTTAATCCGATATGTCCCTGACCTTTTTTGTTAAATGTTTCGGGTTTTTTGTAATAAATAACAATGATTATGCTAATTAAACTCAATTTCAATAATTATTCATTTATTTGAAAAACGGTTTTTTGTTCACGGTATGTTGCCATATGGCAGCACTGGGTCATACCGCAAGTTTCTCATTTTTACATAAAAGTCAGACCATTATACTACAATATTTTAATTAAAATGTATTTTACGTTTCAGTATGATTTACAGTAATCCCCAGCACACCTTCTTTTGTTTTCGAGTGGCACAGGCTAATGGTTAAGTAAGTTTTTTTTTTCGAAGGTAGTGGACAGGTCTTTGGGATTATATTTTCGCGAATAGTGCCAGTAGCAGTGTAACCCGGAGATTGCAAATACGTCAGTAAAGGAAAGCCAGTAAAGAGGTTATCAAAATACAGTGAAAAAGGCAGTTCTTGAACATCAGGTATAAAATCATCAATCATACATACCAGTGGGCAGCGCATTTACCAAATCGTTGTTCATACTTCGGGTTCGATCTGCAGTTTTTACTCTGATATATTTCGAAGTTAACAAGGTAACCGGATGGCGTGCATAAAGACCAAACCTTATATCCGAAAAGAAGCGGTTTTCCGTTAATAAATTGTTTGCAGCCATGTCTGCCAAAGTAAGCAATCATACTTTCGTCATATGATAGATGCTGCTCAGGGTGAAAATGTTTTATCATGTTTGCTTTTGAGTGATCTGTAAGGAGTCGAAGCTTCCACATCCTATCCATTTCAGTGTCTTTTTTAGGCTATCTTCAAAATGAAGAAACTGCAATATTTGTTGAAATCTGTTTCTGCGCATGGAGTTCCTTACCATATTGTTCTGAAGATCTTCATCAGTACTCCATAGCGTTCTAATTCTTGAATGGTAATTATAACCAGTCACAAGTACAATTCCAATAAAAACTTCTAATTATCAACTAATTCATCAACAGTAATATTAGGGTTGGGTTTGCCTAAATAAATAGCAGATTTCCCAGATTCATTACAAATATGTTGAAGCAAATCGTTATCAACAAATTTCTCAAACTGATCCGCCTTTATTCCACCGCAGTCTTCGTAATTTGCAGGCGGAAAATCGGAATCATTGCAGAACAATTGTCTTCACTCCATACAAATTTAGTATTCTTATCAGAGGGTGGAATTGAGATTGTAGACTTGAATGAAGTAACAGTATGATTAGAAGATTGTGCGGAAGTTTATGGATCACTGTCGGAAATGTTCAAGATATCTGTTACAATGTTAGCACTAGAAGTTTCCAAAACATCGTTAAAAATTTCATCTTGATCAAATTCCTCAAACTAACAATCCGACTCTCCTGAATTTGATTTCAAAGTAATTCGATCAATTGAATCAATTCGTTTGCCAGACCCTAATACTATCTCGCAACCGGCTTTAACTGACCAGCGCAAAGATTATCTGGCGTAGCTTCTTCTTCATCTGGACCATCATCCTCACCACTTACAGTATCATCTTCTGTCTCTGGAGGTTTATATATATATATTACTTTAGGTTCGTCATCATCGGATGTTATTTCATCCAAATAATCCAATGTCTCTTTTAGCGATATCTTTCTACAAACATAAAAAGAAAAAATTTGTACCCTGTAAACAACAATTAACAATATTAACAATAATATTTTCCATTAAATTTAAAATAAATGTAGAAATAAAATGTGAAAATTTCATTAAAACAAGCAAAACTACCCCATTTCTAGTGTTGTATGGGCCCAACAAAATATTTTACAGTAATTTACAATAAAAAGCCCACTATAGCCCAGCGAGCTCAAAACTCATAAAAATAAAAGATACGACAATATCACTGGTTACTGAGTATTATACAACTCTACATATAACAATTCATGTAGAAACATCAGAGCAAAATCAAAAAGGACACTTTTTCATGTAATTGGAATCTTGCATTTTCGATATTTTTATTTCACTCACTAAAATTTCGACGTTATTCACTATTAAACGAGTGACGATACTGAACTGGCTTAAATCATGTGGTTAGTGAGAACATCGAGAAGCGTTACAATGTTGCCACTTTAAATTTTTAATTTTAGGAAACCCGGAAAAAAATTATTTCGATATATAAGTGTAACCTGTTGCCATATGGCATCTTTGGGACAAATCGGGTTAAGCTATGTTCACATGAAAATACACTGTATTTTTTTGTAATATTTTCTTAAAATCAATTTAGGGATCTAATTGACATTATCTCATTGGTACTAAAATGGAAGTTTTGATATAATTATTCTGTTCTGTAGACATCATCTGTGTACCCCTAAGTTTTTTTTGTGTATTTTCCAAATTAAGAAGCTTCAAAGCCAAAAATTTTTATAATTGCCTCCAAACGTACATAAAAAGTTTTGGCAAGGTACTAATGGAGATAGTCAGCTCGATGGCTCAGCATGGTTTCGGATTTTCTTCGATATGAGTATAATCGGTTGATTTCCAGAAGAGGTTACATCTAGAAATTTTACAAACGCTACAATATCAAATCCAAAATGGATTTGCTACGTTAAATTGTAATTCGCGGGTAAATGCAGTCAGCCGATGGATGTGCAGTATTATGTAAGACAGGGTCACGCGGCTCCATGGCGCTTATTAATTGATCACTACAGGAAAGCGTTAAGACTTTGGAAAACTACTAAATTTATGGGCATCTCATCTTTCGGAAAATAATGACAAACTATCCAGTTATAATTGTCCTAGTTGTTTCTTCTCACTCAGTTTTTAGCAATCTATAAACTACTGTAGATCCCCTATATTATATCCCATGCCATATTCAGATATATTGTCATGTGAAGATAACGTTCCAACTAAATTACTTTTCAGCTGTTGTAATATGAAATTTTTATTGTTTCAGGATATGGAACGGTTATTGAATGTAAGTGTCAGAGAAGCACTTTCACCATCAGTATTATCTTTACAAATTGTTCGTTTGTGTTCATATTTCGACGTTTATTTGGAGACAACCAATCCAAAAGAGTTTCCTCAAACTGTTACTTTCGTTAAAAGCGTAAGGTAAGTTCATAATCTAGTACGTAAATTCATAATTATTACAGTTCGAATTACTTCATTGGTAAACTTGCAAACATTCTTCGTCATAATTATTTCCTCAAATAGTTCTTATCCCTTGTATGATTAAACATTTAATATTTAAAATTGCAATTATAATTTTTATTGGGAATAAGCCACAATTTAAGTTTAGAATATCAGTTTGTTTGACGTTTGTATTTACACTTCGGAAATCGTTCTCAAAATACAAAACATAAATATACTAAACAAATTTTGTTTTTGCTTACTTGTTGAAAAATTCTTTAAATCATTTAATTGTACCTGACTCATTCATATTGAGAATTAAGACATTTTATACATTTTAAAGTAGGCGACTTTCAAATGATATTGCCAATATTGCTGAGTTGCGTTCCTGAGATGACTTTATTGTAAGATAGTTCATTCGATTATATGAATTCAACTTGAGAATAATGTGACAGAAAAATTATAGCATGCGATTAGTCTTTAAAAAGATATAACATACAATGATGACAGTAAAATTCTCCTGTTAGTGATTCCATAGCAAATCACGAGGAAAAAAGTTCATATTGCGACATGGTAAGTATTTGGTCTTACATTTCTTCTTCTTCTTCTAGTTCCTATCCGTTTCGGATGTTGGAAATCATATTGGCAATCATAACCTTGCTCGCTGCGGCTCGAAACAGCTCCGTTGAGGTTTTCTTAAACCATGTTCTTAAATTCCGCAGCCATGATATTCTCCTTCTACCGGGTCCTCGCTTACCTTTGACTTTACCTTGCAATATAGACTGTAGCAGGGAGTAACGGTGCTGATTTCTCATAACGTGTCCCAGATATTGCAATTTTATGCGTTTGATCGTAAACACAATCTCTGGTTCCTTCTTCATTTTTCCTAGAACTTCCTTGTTCGTGATCCTTGCTGTCCATGATATTCTCAGCATTCTTCTATAAAGCCACATCTCAAATGCTTCAAGTTTTTTAATAGTGGCGTCTGTAAGCGACCATGCCTCCGCCCCGTACAACAACACAGAGAAAACATAGCATCTCAAATGTCTCATTTTTGTATCAAGGGATATGTTGTGACTTTTGAAGATGGCGCTCATTTTGTTAAAGACCGTTCTTGCCTTTCCTATGCGGCACTTTATTTCCTGTAAATTGCTCCACTGTTCGTTAATAATAGTTCCCAGGTAACAATACTGTTTTACTCGCTCTATCTGCGTCCCATTAATGTATATATGAGCCCCATTTATATTCTCCTTGCTGATAATCATTTGTTTCGTTTTGTGGGTATTAATGTTTAGTCCGTACTGTTGACTGTACTCGTTTATTCTGTCCATTAGCCTCTGAAGTCCCTCTAAACTATCTGCTATCACCATGGTGTCGTCGGCAAATCTAACATTGTTTACTCTTTCACCATTTAGAAGGATGCCTTCGTCTATTCCGTAAAGAGCCTCGTTAAAAATTTTCTCTGAGTACATATTAAATATCAACGGCGATAGGATACATCCCTGTCTAACTCCACGTAGTATTTTTATGTGATCTGTTTCTTCTCCGTTAATTTTCATGTATGCGGTCTGATTCCAGTAGAGTTCTGAAATTAGTCTGAGGTCTTTGTCATCCAGGTCTGCCTCTTTTAAAATGTTTATCATCTTTTGATGTTGAACTCTGTCAAATGCCTTTTCGTAGTCGATCAAGCACGCGTATACGTCGCAGTTAACGTCCCTGCATCTTTGAATCAGTACCTGTACTCCAAAAAGTGCCTCTCTGGTACCCACTGCGTTAATGAAGCCGAACTGTCTGTCCGATATTTGTTCCTCGCACTTCTTATAAATTCTTCCATGGATGACTCTAAGAAACAGTTTCAACATGTGGCTTATAGGCTGATTGTTCGATATTCTTCGCACTTTTTAGCCCCCTGTTTTTTAGGTATCGCTATGAATTCTGATTCTAGCCATTTATCAGGGATGATTCCGGTATTGTAAATTTGATTGAAGACAGCCGTGATCCAAATTATTCCTTCTTCCTCCAAGAGTTTTAAAAATTCAGCTTCGATATTATCAGGCCCTACAGCTTTCCTGCTTTTCATCCGTTTTATTGCTTCTTCTACCTCGGATTTAAGTATGTCCGGGCCCGTCATCCTCTCTGAAAATGGATGCCTATAATCCGTTCTTTGGTCTTGAAAAAGTGTATCCAAATATATTCTCCATCTGTCTTTCATCTCTTGGGTGTCAATGATTAATTTTAAAATTGTCATGCTTGGCTTGTAGTCTTTCTATTTCTTTACATTTCTCTACAGCTTCTTTTTCTTTAGCTTCTCTTATTTTTCTTCTGATGTAAGCCTGCATTTTTTTTATACTCATCTTTATTTCCTTACATTTAGTTTACTCTTATCTAACGCAAAGGGAGAGGGGGTCTTGTAAAACGTTACGGTGTGTTACAGGGATGAGAGAGGGATTCTTACAACGCGTTACGTAATTATGTTTTTTTACTTAAATAAAAAAACTATGGAAATAAAACCTTTCAAATTGGCAATCCTTTTTGTTTATGTTTTACAGTGAATCCTTTGATGTATTGTACTGCCATTTTATTTTGTGTTCGTTGTCAGTAATACACAGAAACAGGTTGCTGTAGCCGCTGTTGTTAAATTGAATTCATACTGTAATGTCATCAAAAGTTAAAAAAAAAACGTGAAAATTGACATCTACGATTATTTATTTATTTTATCGTATGGCACTTGACACATTTACATTTAAATTTACACATAATTTGTATAAAACATAATACATATATGTTTACAAACGAACATCTAACTTATTTATATACTCTATCGACTCTGGAGTCGCCATTAGGAAATTCTCTGACCTGCCTTGATAGGATCTTGTGGGACACTGTTCTGTGATGTGACAGATGGTTTGTGGTTGTCCACAGTCACAGAGTGAGGATGGTCGTTTATCCCATTTGTGCATCATATAACCGCATCTGCCATGTTTGGTTCTGATTCGGTTCAATATAGTCCATGTGTTGCGTGGTAACTCAAAACCTGGTGGTTTTTGTGTGATGCAGGGTAAGCTGCTATTTTGTTGTTCCATCCATTCTCGAGTCCAAGTGGTCGTTAAGTTGAACTCATTTTCCACTGCAATCTGTGCTGTTTTTATTGGCGGTCGCCTGGAGCGCAAACGGTTACCGTTGGCAGCATCTATATCTTGATGAATTGGCAGGGTCTCGTTGCTAAATATCTTTTGGTACTCACTAGTGAGGGAGTGTATACGCCGTAGTCTGGGTGGTGGAATGTGGCTCAGGACTGGGAGCCATTGCGTAGGGGTGGATTTGATAACACCAGCAATTATTCTCATTGTGTTATTCAATTGGGCATCTACTTTGTGTGTATGTGGGCTGTCTAAACATCTACGATGTTTCGGCGCAATATAGAAAACCTGAAGAAAGTTTGCAGGATCCATCATAACCTGGCATGGTATAGCACTCACATCCGTAAATCGCAATATTTCTTGCAATGCGCGGACGAATGTTACTGTTGTCACTCGAGGAGTGCATTGAAATCTGTCTTTCCTGATTTCCTGCAGTCAACCTGTTGTCACTCGAGGACTGCATTGAAATCTGTCTTTCCTGATTTCCTGCAGTCAACCTACCCAATCGTTCAAATCTCAAGTAAGCTCGTTATACTTAGTCAGTTAAATAAAGGATCATGCAAGTTTTCACCACTGTTTGTGAAATTGTTCATTGATCTGTCGCCTCTACTGAAAACATTTAAAGTGCCCTACGATTTCTTTTGTTGATCATCTCTACAATGCGACCTCAAGAACAGAATAAGTGCAACCGGTAAGATCTATTTCACGTCCCACAGAGACTTACTGCCAAAAGGGCAAATAAGCTTTTCTGCATTGTGCGCTACAATAAAACATCGTCTGAGGATGCCGATTGCATACAATGCCGATTTACAAGCATACGTTTGGTGGTAAAGATATTACCACTATAATTAAGCGAAACCGCCTGCAGTGGGTAGAACATGTAGCCCGGGCCCCTGAATCGAACATGATAAAAAAGATTCTAACAGCGCAACCCGTGGCAATGAGAAGACGGGGTAGACCAAAGCTGAGGGGGATGGATGGGGTAACACAAGATGCGGAGAAGATCGGAGTCGGCAACTGGAAACTGCAAGCAAGGGACAGAACTGAATGGCGTAGAAAGCTTGAGAAGGTCGAGGCCCTCTAAGGGCTGTAGCACCAAGATGATGATGATGATGAGGATGCTGATTGGCTCGACGAAGATGAAGTTTATGGAGGTGGCTTAATAATTCCGGATGCCAGTATTGAAAGAATATGAGTGACAAACCTGTCGTCAGAGTAGTAACTCCAATTGAATTGTTTTTTTTAAATACTATAATATATAAAAATAATAATCTTTCTTCCATTCTTATCAACAAAAGATTTAGGAACTTCATCAGTAGAGTTACGACATACCCTGGTACATATGAAACATATGGTACAAAAATAAAAATCAAAGAAGTGGCTCTTATTATGCTAAATAAGACCAATCGCGTTGCAAATTCCTCAGCAGAATGCAGTAGGGTCTGGTTACCCACATTAAATGGGGAAATCGATAAAAAGAAAATACCACGATTAGTAAGTCAATATCATATCGAGGGTACATCATTTATGTTTTAAAATCATACATATAAAATCAGAGTTTGGTTTTAATATTGAGTGTAAACTAAATGTAAGACCAAATACTTATCATGTGATAATTTCATTAGAATTTTTTCCTCATCATGTACTATAGGATCACTAAGGAGAATTTTACTGTCATCATTGCATTGTGGTTGTCATTTTAAAGACAAATCACATGCTATGATTTTTCTGATGAGTATTCTTAAGTGAAATTGATTTCATGTAATCAAATGAACTATTTTCCAATAAAGTCGTCCCAGGAACGCAACTCAAAATATTGACAATATCATTTTAAAATCGTCTACTTCAAAATCTATAATATATGTCTGAAATGTCAATATGAATGATTCAGATAAAATTAAATTATTTATTAGAGATAAAAATTTTTGTCAAGTAACAAAAACAAAATTTGTTTCAATTTATAATGTTCTGTATTTTGTGTTAGAAGATCTGAAAAACGGTAATGATTTCTGAAGTGGAAATCGAAACGTTAAAATAAACTTATTTTAAAGAAAAATTGTGGCTTATTCACCGAAACAATAGTAAATTTTATTTTTTTTCTTCTATTCTGTTGTTTGGTGTGTTTCATCATAACCTTCATTTTTGCACTGCTGGCTCTGTTGCCTTATTCAATTACGATATTTAATTTATTTATCCCTAGTTAATTTTAATTTCAATCTACTTCCGTCATTTGCTCTAATCATTATCCATTTACATTTATTTAGATCAGCTGATATCACTATTAATTTAATTTTTCTGTTGAACTTATTATATTTTATTATCTAATGATCACACTTTTTCCAAATTGATTAGGTTTTCCAAACATAGTTTCTTTTTATGATAGCAAACCATAGTTCTTTTCTTACACCTTTGCAGCCTTTTATTTGACATTTGCATATTTTTAAATATTTCTGCAAATTATTGCATTCGTGTAATGTATGTCTCGTGTTAGTTTTTCTTTGCGTTTTACCGTACCTCAATTATCTTTATATATTGTTACGTTTTTCTGTGGATTCAGGCACTAAGTGAAGCAAACGTTGTTTAACTAACTTTATTTTAACTCTCTTAACTACAAAACCTGAATAGATTACAAATATAAATTCTAATTACAATAATTATTGCATAATTCACCGATACCGATAATACTTTGCTAAAACTGATCATCTAGTGCCGACTCAGCGGGCTTATATAAACAGATCGTAATATAGAACTGCATTTAAACCAGTCCCTTAAATTCTTCAACCATGACACTCTCATTCTTTCTTCCCTGTATTATCAGCCTTAGCAGTTCATATCGCTGTCCCCTCATTACGTGTCAAAGATATTGTAACTTTTCTTATTTTTATCGTGTTTATTATTTCGCATTCTTTGCCCATATCTCGCAATACTTCCGTGTTAGTTTTCTTATGTGTCCATGCTATTCCAAGCATCCTCCTGTAACACCACATTTCAAAGGACTGTAACTTATTTATGTATTCTTGCTTAGTGCTCAGTGCTCTTACTCTCAGTTCTAATTTAAGATCTTTGTTGCAGAGAATTGTTTTCATTTTTACAAATGCATTTCTTGCTATTTCTATCCTAGCTCTTATTTCAGTCGTTTGATCATTATTGTCTGAAATCCAGGTTTCTAGGTATTTGTATTTATCAACCCTTTCTATCGGTACATTTCCCAAATGTATGTTTGTTGGTATATTTGTTTTCTTTGTTATTATCATGTATTTGGTCTTTTTTATATTCATTTTTAGTCCATATTTTTCACAGAAACTGTTTGTTTTGTTTAGCAGAGCTTGCCATAATCACGGTGTCATCTGCATATCTTACGTTGTTAATAGATCTTCCGTTAATTAATATTCCTTCACTTTGAGATAGTAATGCTTTTTCAAAAATGGCTTCACTATATACATTCAATAGTAATGGGGACATAATACATCCCTGCCTAACTCCTCTCCTGATTTCAATTTCTGGACTGGGTTCGTTATTTATTACGATTTCTGCTCTTTGATTCCACTAGAGGTTTGTTATTATTCGTAAGTCCCTGTGGTCTATGTTTTTTGTCTTTAGAATTTGGACTAATTTTTCATGTCTTACTTTGTCAAATGTTTTTTCAAAATCAACGTAACAAACATGCACATCAGCATTCATATCCATTAGGGGTCACGCAACAATATATTCCCGATTGTTTTTATTATGGTGGCACCACAATTCGCTATTTGTTATTTGTTTTGCGCCTTCGCTGTATTCGACCAAATATTTTTGTTATTCGTCAACGAACAAATAAAAAAACATTATTAAAAATCCTTTATAAAAGGTATATAATTTAAAAAACCCAATCGGGCTATATCACAAAACGTTTTCGGAATCCATATTCCATCATCAGTGACTATACTTCATCTAATTTACTTACCGTTGCACGTCATAGCCCGTGAGGTCACATGATACAAATACGAAATATTTAGGCGGTAGGTGTGTTTTTTTTTTAAATCACTTTGCCGAGTACACTGGCTTTGCAGCCACTAGACATATTTTATTATATACGCGTAGAAATAATATTTAAAGATTTCTATTAATGTTAACTTAAAGAAATACACAATCATTTTGTTTCATTTAATTTGTATAAATGCATTATAAAGCGTTTTTATGAAGAACATTTGTTCGAAACACACTGTAACTGCAATCGAACGAAGGTGATATTATGGCATAAATTGGTAACACTTATTTGACAGTTGCGGTATTGACACTTTATTTTTGTTTTTATTATTTGCTATTAATTAAACTATGTTGTTTTTTAACGAAGTTGCCTCAAATTATTTTTAACAAGATTATTTTTTAACTCTATTATTGTTTTATTTCTATTTATTTACACTAAATATTAATTGGCCTTGTTGTATAATCCACTTTTGCAATAATTATGTATTCAGGATTTTTTTATACTTTGGCAACTATGTCAACTTCGATCTCTGTCAATGATAATGACGTGCAACGGTAAGTAAATTAGATGGACTGTAGGTGTACGTGTACATGTATTGACCCACTAAATATCTGGGTAAAAACCTGTTAAAAGTGACTTTTAAATTTAGTTTACATTATATGGTATTATATATTACGGTGTTAAAGTTACCAGTGGATTTGGTAACATGGCGACGTATGCAGTGGAGCACCAAGGGGGGTTTTAACTTCAAAACCCCCCCAGGACCCTATTCCGACACTGTTATTCACAAATTTTAGGGACTTAATATGGTGCAGGTAGCATAAAAAAATTTCGGTGCCCAACTAGGTGCGCTGCTGGACGTATTACTTCGGACTCCGTATGACTCCGGAGTCATACGTCGCCATGTTACCAAATCCACTGGTACCTTTAACATCCTAATATATAATACCATAAAATGTAAACTATGTAAAAAATAAATTTAAACAGATAACTTTTAACGGGTTTTTACCCAGATATTTAGTGGCTTAATACATGTACACCTATACACTGATGATGGAATATGGATTCCGAAAACGTTTTGTGATATACCCGGATTGGGTTTTTTAATTTATATACCTTTTATAAAAGTTTTTTAATAAATTTTTTGTGATACATGGTATACAGCCAACCGCAGGAACTTATCAGATTCTTTGTGGATGGGAATATCTAATACGCTACTAACACTTGTGCCGGCGGGCCAAATATGCCAAATATTTGCGTCATGCGTATTTGGCAGAACCTAGTTTACTAATACTTGTTGGTATGGATGCAGTATTTACCAATATTGCATCTGGTATAAATCTAGAAATCTCATTACTTTTTCATATTTTTCCACTCCCCTCACAGCGCAGACATCTGCGTAATTTATTTAAAAAATAATTGAACGAAATAAAATATTTGTTAAAAACTAATTACTATTACTTAACTGAATTAAAAATATTTGCGGCTACTTTTTATCTGGCAACCTATTATTAATTGTATTCTCCTAATTTTAAATGAATGTAAAAATGAGAGTTTGATTACCTATTTTATGAACGTAGTGATCCTGCAACGGGATCTTATACTAATATGATGACCATAAAATCACAATTTACAGTGAAAATGTAGTTTCAAGATAAGTCACTTTCACTATTATATTTTAATTATATTTCAGCGCAAGAAACAGAAGGCGACCTTTCATTTACAGAAAAGTTGGAAATGGCATTTTCACTCAATATTGAATAAGGTAATTTTCCGTTTTATTAGAAAGAAGATGTATGTCTGCAACAACTTTTGTCGTTTAATTAATTACAATAAAATATACGAACAAAAATTTGTTTTATTTATTAAAAAAATATAAATATTAAATATCTAACATTAAAGCGTGTCAAAAATCTTGGTAGTACACTCCAGATTCTTCAGGTTAAGAAGTACTGCTTGATGACTAGTACAAAACTTTGGAATGCTGATTAATCTCACTTTTTGACCTTGAGCACCTAAAAAACATATGTCAATGTAGCAGAGTTGTTTCTATTTTAACTAAATTACACCAATCAGTATACGTGTGGTTAATACAAAAAAGTTTTGTATTAACCACATTAATCCGGTCGGTCAGTCGCCACATTGCTCCAGATGTGGCAGGTTATATTGTATATAGTTTAAAAACTTGTGGAAGATGGAAAATCACATATTATACACTATGATCTCCTTTTTTGTTTGTTGATTTTATCACAGGGTTTTACAAGGTAAAGACCTAAAAGTCTTTACCTTGTAAGAACTTTTATTTACATACATATACAATGTGGAAACCACTTATGGAATAAAATTGTTTGTGTCCTTATTATAGAATATAATAAAAACTCTGGGACACGTTAACTTTTAAATTTAAATGTGCGCTTTTTAAACATAAATTTCAATGTACAAGGTGATCCACGCAAGTCTGGCATAGTCCATAATACTTATTTTTAATGAAATATCCTGCATATTTTTATGTTTTTAAATGATTCTTAACAACCTGATTTCAACGAACTATATCATGTAGGGTCTATAATGAAGTATGAGTAGCAAACTTATTTAATCAGAGGTATCCTAGGTTGCTTAATATTTCACAAGGTACTATGTCTAAAATTTATGCACAATTCAAAGAACTTGGACATGTCAAACCATTAAAAAAGAAAACCGAACTTCATTAAAAATGAGGTGAAAGTGGATATTTTGTTAAGTGTCGCAGAGAATCCAACGTCAAGTTCAGGTCAAATTGCACGTCAAAATAATGTGAGTCACACAACTATCCTAACATGTGTTAATGAAGAAACACTTCATCTATATAAATTGACTTTTGTGCAGGAGCTAACAGAAGATGATCCAGATCGTAGAATGGATTTCTGCGAAAGAATGATCGATAAAATTTACAGGCAAAACTGTAGATATTGGTCAGCGGAGAATCCTCATTTGATCGTGAGACACACTCAGTATCCTCAAAAGTTGAATGTTTGGTCAGGTATTATAGATCATAGTATTTGTTCTATATTTGTAGATGGTAACTTGACAGCGGAAAAATATTTAAGCATGCTAAGAGACAATGTTCTTCCTCAGTGGGCCAAAGTGCATGCTAAGAGACGATGTTCTTCCTCAGTTGGCTAACTTTTATTACAATCCAATAGATCTGACCCTACCGCATGAAACGGTGCAACACCCCATTATGGTTTTTTGGTGAGAAATTACTTGAATGAAATCTTTTTCAATAAATGTATTGGACGAAGGGGTACTATTGAGTAGCCAGCTAGGTCGCCAAATCTCACGCCTTCGGATTTTTTTCTGTGGGGTTATCTCAAGAACAAAGTATATGCAAAACAACCAACTAGCATTGAAGACCTCAAAGGAAGGATAAGTACAGAAATACGGAATATTTCACCTCAAACTTTAAACAAAGTTCGGGACGAGATTTATATGAGACTGTGTTATTGCCAACAACAAGGTGGAGAACATTTTGAGCATTAATTTTAATGTAATCCAATCAATTACCTCGGATATCACCTTGTATATTTAAATTTATGTTTAGGAAGCGCACATTTTAATTTAAGTTAACGTGTCTTAGAGTTTTTTTATTATTTTCTATTATAAGGACACAAACAATTTTATTCCATAAGTAGTTTCCACACTGTATAATGATCAACATATCACCTCACTACAATCATAGTGTCATAAGGAAAAGATGAAGACAGACAGTACCCTGGATGTAAGAGGAAAACTTCTTATTGGCGATATCTATATTATTGATTTTTAACAAATCAATCGATCATTTCTGTAACACTTTGAAAGTAAATATTAGATTGTGAGTATTGACCTTTTTAATATATCTGTTCAATTATGGACTCACACTTGCAACCCTTTTATCATCATAATAGATAATTATTATAATAGAGTCAAAATAATATCAAATATTATCAACTTAAATTGATAGAAAACAGCAAACACCTTAAAAATTTTCACATTTCTAAGTTATTTAAATATCACTATAATTATAAACCAACACTTTAATTATACCAACATACATACATAAAGCTATTAAAAGTTAAAATTATATTTATATAATTAAATTCAACAGGCATAAATATGATTCTTAAGGATTACTGAATCCACATCTGTGTTAAAATTACAAATTAAGCGTTTTTGTTTAGAGGTGAGATTGTCCTTACTTGTGAGTTTCTACTTGTTACTTTTGATACACTTTTGTATATAATCAGTTACAATATAAGTGATTTTGTAACAAGTAGTTATCTCTTCAGCATCTCTAGAGATTGTGAATGAATTTATCACGCATTAATACTGTTGATATTCTACTTTTCTGTTAGGCGAATATAGTTTAGAAGCCTAATTTAACACACGAAAAGTGAAAGTAATGAAACAAAATTAATCCAAGTTATTGTTCAAGATAAATTTCGAATAACAGAAAGTTAAAACTTAACATAAATACATAAAAACATCCAGATGGAGTTCTGAAATTATTTTTTTTTCTGACATTGTGTCCGCAATTGCGATGGACGTTATAAAAGGTGACTCTGGAGTCAACATAGATGTAACCTTCTGTCGATCATGTCTCCCACTGTCGATTTTCCTCTAGTATTTGTGCTGTTTGTAGTCTGAGATGTTTTATATTCTATATTATTTAGAGCCACATTCTCTTTAGATGCAGAACCTCTTCTTTATGATTACAATCAATGGAATGTTGTTAAATTTCGTAGTCTCTTTGGACATCCATAAATAGTAGTGTTATTCAATTATATATAAGTACCTTTATTTCTTCCACTAGTGGTTGTCTTGTATAATGGTGTGTTCTCTAACAGCATTTAACAATTCATATAAAAATAATGTCATCAAATTTAAGAAATTTATAAGTTTACCTTCCGTATAGCTAAATATCACAACAGTGTCATCCAATTTTTCAATGAAAAAGTTTGTACTAAAAGGGCTCAATGTATTTTTCAATTGGCACTCTATAGGCTTGTAAAATCTGCAGTCCCACTGGCAATATATTGCAGTAATACTGTGATAGAAATGGTTGTAAAATCTATCTTGTGGAAACTGCCGACTAATGCCCCACCAACTGGCACTATTATAAACACTAAAATTACGTCAAAAATCCTAAATACATCAGCTGGTCTTTAAGATATCATTCATATTTTCTCGAAGTCCTGACATGTTTCAGATTGGTTAATGAATGACTTTAGCAACATTGTTAACTGAACATTTTTCTTGTGAATTTTGGAAAGACATTTCAGATGTGGTGGTGTGCTTCTATCTTTCATATACTTTTCCTAACTTTTTGTTACATAGAAGTAGCCTGGATACGGTGATTAGTTTTCTTCAGAAAAATTACAGTTGGTTATACTTCATTTTTAAGGTTATGTGTCAGATTTTTATTTTTATTGCTATAATACTTGGGTTTTAGTATGATAGTTGCAGTCTGTTTATAACCATGTAAAATTAAAATTTCTTTGTCAGTATTGTCTTTGATTGTTCTTTTTTTAATGACGTGAGATTGCTTTTAAGTGATTTGATTATAATATTTGTTAAGTTTCTGATTTATGAAGTTGAGTTTCCTGAATATAATGTAACATTAAAAAGTACAACTTTGCATACAGACCTTTGATGGAAGATACAATTAATAAGCTCATAAGAATACATTAAATATATAAGTACTTAATGATAGATTATATAAATAGTAAAGCAAAACAGCTCAACTTCATAAAACATCAAGACTAGTGAGAGGTATATTTACAATACAGGCAATACATCCTTACCTTCAATTAGTTTAGTACTGAATTCATCCTGATTTCCAGCAAAGAAAATATGGGGACACTTTTCAATGATAAATGGATCATTTTTGTAATAAGGATAACATCCTAAAGTATCAGGAGCAGTAGGAGCTATGTGTCCCCACTCTAAGCATTTTTCTAAAGCTTGGATGGGTGTATTATTTTCTGAATACCACATAACATGTTGCACAGGTTGGCCAGAAGTTCCCAAAATATTTATGTTTTCCAAAGAACAAGCATATGGATTGGGTACCAGGTGTAAGGATTTGTATGTGGCTGAGTTAGCAAACATACAGTGATGCATTTGTTTTTGTGGTAGGATTTGGTTAGAGGGATCATTTTCCCCAGGCATCACATCTACCTGAAAATTTAAACAAAAGTATAATTATATTTTTCAATACATAGCAATACAACTGGTCCTTGCTAATCAGATAAAAATGCATTTAAAAGCACAAGATATAAATACAAAAACTACAAAAGAAAATGAGCAAGATTGATAATTAGTCTAGATTGCTATTAACATTATTTTCCTACATTTCTACTAATTTATATGTTTAGTCACTGCTACTTGACATTTATAAGATTTGTTATGTGGGCATCTTTTCCATATATTTATATGAACACTACATGGAGAATATTTAGTGTAATTGATTAAGAAAAATAATTCATACTTGTTTTTTCTTTCAGAGATAATATTTAACAAACGTTAAAAATCAGTAAAAATTTTTGTGAAATCTCTGGTCAGAATAGCAGTATTGGTCATTGATTTTTTTATATGACAACAACAACAACCTGATCACCTGTTTTACTATTTATTTGTGATTTTTAAAATTATACCATGCTTTCCAATTGTGCAGCTTTAGAGTTTTCTAAGTCTTAATAGCCATATTTTTGCTTTCTTTTGACTCTATGCTGATTTATTCAATTTTAACACTTTTACTGCACAAAGTGCACATGTGAGACTTAGTTAGGAATAGCCCTATTGTTATATACATCAATATAATATACTAAGGATGGAACCTATGAATAACTATTTGCGTTCAAAGCAGCTGATAACAATGGCTGAGTCTTGTTTCCGAAATGTCAGTAGTTTATTAAAAAAATCTTCATATATATGTACAATAATTATTTATTTTCGTTATTTACATTTGAATAAAAGATATAATGAAGTGTAACATTGTAAAATTAAAAATTGTTATATGTATAACATAAAAACACATTAAACATACATATTTTCTGGTACATAGTTTCACATCGCACGCTACTGATGTGACTGGATGCAAAATATTAAAAATTCAATGAATATATCTATTTACCAAAAAGAATACATTAAATTATTGACTTAACATATAATGTTACCTGTTTAACAATAAAATATTGGGGATAACTATATTCACATTAATCGCCTATCAAATTCACATAGGATATTGTAGCTGATAATGTGATGTCAGTTCTATAGTTGATCAGATACATATAAAAATATCAATATGTTTCATCCTTAGTATATTATATTGATGGCTATATATAACTTGTAACTGATAAGTTATTATGTATATACACAAATTTATCCAGATATTGTTACTGATCTAAAGTAGTTTTCTGTAATCTTAGTTTTTATAGTCTTGATATACCATTCATAAAAGACATTGATGCTTAAGTAGTTCACAGATTGCATAATAAAATAAGTGCAATTATGAGTGAAAATTTTATCAATGTCACATATTTATTTGTGATATATATGTAGGTTTGAGTTGCTTGTAGAATATTCAGTCTTCATGTTCTAGTACAACAAAGATGAGATGTAAATTCAGATATTTTTCTATACTTTATAGATTTCGATAAAAGGCATTTGACAAAGTTAGAGACATAATGATACAGCTGCAAATATTGGCCAAAAAGATATATAAAACATTGCTAATTTTTAACTAGTAGTTGATATAAAAAGGGCAGTCAGACAGACAAGCATTTTATCATCTCCCATCTGTAAGTTTCTCATCATCCTTAGCTACAGTAGTATAATATTTGTAGTCAGTTGAAACACCCAAAAAAACTGATTGTCAGCAAACATTAAAACATATCATATTCCGAGACATAGGTGTATCATTTATTTTTATATTTAATATCTTATATTCAAGTATAAATTAATGAGGAACATAATAAGAACAATTTTAATGGGATTATAGGATTATAGAATGACAATAGGACATTAAAATATAATTAAATTATATATGAACTCAAAAGTTTATATGTTTGCCCCAACGGTTCATTGTTTAAATAATAAAATAATATAACTTCCATTGCAACATCAGAAAGAAATAAAACACAGTTTTGATATTGTTGTGATATAGTTGACAAAGTTGTGTTCTGAAATTATTTAACAAACTGAGCACATAACTAGAGTATAAATATAATTTTTACTAACACAACACCTAACCTTTTATCAGGATTATAATCATCAGAACTAGAGTCAGTGTCCAAATGGGCTGAATAACAATTGAGGTGGTTGTAGGATCCATTATGGTGTATTCATTTTCTTTGTCAATAACATGGGAAATACAATTATTACAAATGTCACTATCAAACACTACTGTCGGGTATTTTTGTTAAGAGTCGTAAATGATAAGAATTATTGCCCCTGAGAATTACAGAATTGGGTGTAATATTAGGTAGAAGTTGTTCCTTAAACCATCTTTCAAATCAATGAGTATGTCCTGTATTCATCAGAATCAGCAGATGATTTGTTGATGTTTTTGTCTGACAGTAACAATACATTTCATACAAATTTCTTCACTTCCTGCATGCATGATTATTATACATTTCTCCCTTGAACATAATCTATTTAAACTGCAGCTCTGAGAGTTATCTACCCAATCATACTTAACAATGTCATGTGTGTCAAACTAGGTCTCGTCTACATATACTATTAATCTGTTGGGCAGTCAGTATTCTTTGATTATATGTAAATATTCCTGCCTAAGTTTAACTATTCTCTGTGACTCCAACTATTTTCTTATATCTAAACCCACAGTTTATCAAAATATTTTGCAATGTCGCTAAACATGGGTAGTTACAATCAGGATATTCTCTTAGGGCATTTTGGATCATATGTAGTGTAGGTACCTTGTTTTCCTTGTAGAAATTATACAGTCTTTCGAATAACATTCTTATCAACATCATCTATTTTTCTAAATTTTTGATTCATTAGTTTCCGTTTTAAACAGTGATTTATAAAGTTTCTTTCCCTAAAAATACAATAAATTGTTGATATAGTGATATTTTTTAAGTTTGCTTATTCTATTTAAGTACAGTAGTTCTGTCAGAGTTTTGTTCCTTTAATTTTTTTTTAGCACTGATATATGTTCAATATTTGTTAATGTTAATATTTTCCTCATTTTCAAAAGGTCACTAAAAGGCCATATTGAGAGTATACTGATTTAAAATACTCATCACATGTAGTAAAATACTAAAGAAACTTTTAGCTGTACAGCACTTGCAAGAGTCAAAGCTTTTCTTATCTGTACATCCCTGCTGGCGGTAGCGAAGTCCAAGCAGCATGTAAAGTATTGGTGATTTTAAATAACGTATTGTTCAATATTTATTTAGTGGAATGTACCTTTCATTATCTATTTCTTCCATCTCTCTCCTACGAAGTACAGGGGTTGTTCAAATATTTTTAAAACATTGAAGCATTTTATTTATAATTTAATTTGATTATTGGTAAATGTGATATTGAACTGCCCTTATAAATCGTATCGGAGTGAAATGTTTCAGGTGACTTTATAAATAATTTAGATAGTGCAATAAAAAAGGGAGACATTATTTATATTTAGAAAGAGTATAAAATTGAAATGGTTGTATTTCCAAACAAGAGAAATTAGTTGGAGCAGAAATCTTTCCCTACAGTGAAATTCAGTAAAATATGATCATCGAATCATATGGGAATAAATAATCAAAATCAAGTTACTGATCATGATACACTCCTGAGCACCATTAAGTATGACAAAATATGGTGTTTCCTATTATCTAATGTTTACTGCTGAATGCTTATTTACTTTATAGAAAATACAGTATACATTACAAGGCTGAACTAAGTTTTTATTATTTTTGACTTTACTGGCAATATTGGATCAACCAGATCAACAGTTTCATAACAACTATCCAAAATATCAATATCTGTGTTTTTAAGTTTGTATCATATTTTTTTAAATATATTTTAAAATCAGCAATATTTTATTTAGCTAACCAAAATGACATAACTCCTTATAAATATACAGATGTATGCAGTTCTTTTATATAGCGAAAAAGTAGTCAAGTTTATAACATAAATACAATGTATTTTTGTAAAATAATCTATTTTTGTTATATTGAACATTCCCATTTTTTTATCCTTGTTAAATATTTTTTATTATTATTTATTTCATCATATTATTTTACTTAATCACTTCATATTAAATCTATACTTAAGAGCAAGGGTGCAAATTTTTGAGCCAATGCTTTTTAAATGCATTCATTTTTTTCAAATCCTGAGAAAACTAGTAAGTATTTTTGAAAAATTTAAAAGCAGAATGAAAGATTACATTATTCCTGAGGGCCTAAAGTCACTGGAAACTTCTATAATGTTTATTTTTAGGTTATAGGGGTGAAAAAGCAGAGACAATTAAGTGTGATTTTTAATTTCAAATATCTAATTAAAAAAACAACTTTTTTGTTTATTCTAAAGGCCACTCTGTCCTCAGTAATAATGTAATCTTTCATTCTGCGTATAAATTTTTCAAAAATATTTAATAGTTTTCTTAGGATATGAAAAAAATGTATGCACTTAAAAAGCATTGGCCTGAAATTTGGCACCTACGCTCTTAAATTTTTATAGAAACGTGAATATTATATTAAATTATAATTGGCAAATTACAAAATAATTCTCACCTCTACTAATCCACATATTTGAGACAAGAAGTTATCAAAAGCCTTAACAGCTTCCACACTTTCATCAGTTTCAGCAACTCTACTAATAAGAGATATAGTTGGTTTTCTTTTTTCTGAATGTATTCTGATACTATTTCCAGCAATAATTATTCTAGCAATTTTTGGTACTACACTTTCATCATTTAACATGCCACTCAACCAAAACGTTAACAATTCCAAGTTCCACATTATTTTTTCACAGTTGATGAGATCTAAGCCACTTAAAAATACTACATAGTTATCCTCCTGAAGTAAAGGCTTTTCTATTTGTTCTCTTAATCCTGCAAATACATAATCTTCAGCTATAAATTTCCCTTTACCAGCATCTGACCCCAGGAGAGCAATTGTTATTCCAGTTACTACATCACTTAAAGGAACACCATCGATCTCATACCTCTGGACTTCATCCTCTATAAATAATTTATCAGAATCATCTGTAAAATTATTATTAATAATAGGATTGGTTTCTGCTACAAGCTGATTAGCTTCAGACAATTCCTTGAGAATCGATGGTTTTAGTTTCTGATCTTTAAATATAGTTCCAATTACTACACACTTATCTTTGTCTTCTTCCGTTAATTTATGCAGTTTTATGATTGGATAAGTATCACCCCATTTATGCTTAATTGAGTTTTTAAGTATTATTTCCATTTCATTTAAGCGGGCCAAATATATACTACAATACTGTCTGTTGTAGTCTTCTGGTTGTTCAGCATATTTTTCAGAAAAATTCTGATATTTTAATGATGGCCTTTCTGTTTCCATTTTCTCTGGCATTATTGCGATATTATTTATAATATATAAAATTCAATAGAAGTAGGATTCTTGTATTTGCTTGTATTATATGTCCACGGATTTTTGAATTTGTTTACATAACCTCAATCAAATGTACAAATTCCCGCGGCATAATATCTTCTTCTTCTATTCTTTGTTTCTTTTGTTTGGCCTTAGATACCAAGGCTATCCAGTCAGGATATGTGTATACTGATTGTTCAAGAGCCGTATCTAAGGTACATCTGGACTTAAGCAAATACTATATAGCTCCTGAACCTGCATAGTTTAGGAATAAAAATAAAAAAAAATTTAAAATTTAATTGTTTAAAAGTTCTTTCATATAAGTTCTAGTTCCAGTACTAGCACCAAACCGCACTAAGATCATGCAATCCCAGCAAGCAGATAAAATCTTATAAAGTATGTACTTACATTAACAAACTACACATGTGTCCTTGATGACGCTTAAAACTTTTACACTAGCGAGTAATGTATTTGAGTTTAAATCTTTAAACAGCACATCAATAAATGTTGGATCACCTTGTAATTTACTTTTAAGCAACTGGGACTCCCTTTGGTACCTAATACATTCCAATAAAACATGCTGTAAGGTGCCTAAACTGCCACATGAACACTTATCTGTCTTATCAGTTTCAATCCAAATAAATGAACTAGAACACTGCAATATCCACTCCTCATACGACACATTTGTGAAATTATACCATTCCCCAGGTAGGAGAACCTGGTAAACTAGGTATTTTTAAAAGGAACTGTAACAATGTGTACAATATGTATTTATTTATCCATAGGTTTTATTAAAGAGTTCTATTAAAAACCTATTATACCTTATTGAACCGGCTCGAGGTCACTATTTTTTGGCGAAAAAAGAGGCAATCTTAAAAATTAAACTTAACTGGATATAAGAGAACTTTGAAAGATCTCGCTTATGTTAGCTTTATATTTTATTTTTATCATGGAATAATGAAATTTGAGACTTGCTTGATCAAATTAAACTTGTAAACAATCAAAACAATTATTTTATACCAAAATAATGACAAAAAATACCTATTCCGCGGGTTTAATATTACACTTAGGTCTAGAGGAGATGAATAGATTTTAGGAACTTTTTTATTTTCTTCTACGACTGAGGGCCAATTGTTCGAACGACAATCAAAACTTGATTGTAATCAAATTTTTAATTAAAATCAAATACTTCACATTTTGGGGTTATGTTGACTTATTTTATTCAATTTTATTATTTTGCGTTATGATTTAAAATAAAACATAATTAAACTCTTTCTGATGTTAATTTCATGTTTTTATTTACATATCAATAATAATAATAAACAACTTTTAATAATTTTGACAGCTACTGTGACGTATTTGATTGTAATTAAATATTTGATTACAATCAAGTTTTGATTAGCGGTCGAACAATTGGGAAAGTATTTCTTTAATTAATTACTGCGTATATACTTATCTCCATAATTACATTAACAAGCAATGACTAATATATCCATCCATCTAATCTTTCATTTTTCACACACATGATTTAGACCTGAATTCAAAACTCAGCAATGACAAATACTTTATCATTGGACAGACTAGGGCAGCCCCCTTCAAGCCTCTAAGCTTTCATCAAACAGCTTTTTTGCAACACAATTATATGTGTAAGGTAAGGTATCACGTACCTAGTGTTGTATCAATCGCGATTAATTCGTTTGTTTTGATTCAATCACTTTAAAGTATTGAACGACCGAATCCCGATAGGTGATAACAATCTTCTTTTCATTACATTCGGTTCCCGGTCGTTCCTCACTTGCAACGAAGACCGATATATGCTGGGCGGCTGAATGATTGAGTTCGTTTGAATTACTGAAAAATTAAAATACTACAATATTTACAATACGTGCAAGGCAGCGACTTAGCTTAGCTACAGACCGGGAGTATTGTAGTTGGAAACTATTTTATCGGGAAAATATTGTTTTCGCTTGTGTTATTAATAGTTATTAGGTAGTTAAAATTATAAAATATCGCAAAATTAAAATTTGAACAATAACAATAAATATTTAGGTATATTTGGACGCAGCACATATTTCCATATAAATTTATAATTATTTACTAAGTTACACTAAGAAAGTCCTAGATGATTCGGAATTCCCTTATTTCCTTATTTATTTTTAATACGTACTTTCTTTCTCTTTCTTCTCCAATCTGTAAAAAAATGCTTTTAATTAAGCGGTTCTTCTTGTGATTAAGATAATACCAACGTACATGCTATACATTGAAGCATGTGATAATATATTAAACATTTAGTATGAATTTAGATAGATAGATCTCGCAAAATTTTCTCAAAGACTAGACTAACTAGATTAACTGATGTGGCAATATCAAATAAAAATAATCTTCGTGTTAAATACAACAGAAAGATCGCCAAGTAAAGAGATCTTGAGATAGGAATAAGGAGATGATGGAGAACTGAAAGTAACAAGACGATACCTATTCTGGTATTCTCTCTACAACTGGAGTTATTCTAAAAAAACGTCTGATGAGAGCATAAAATTGTTAAATTTTAGTGAATAGCACTATAAGACCGTGCAGAAAGCGATACTGCTCTCAATATCCAGGTTCGACAACACGAAAAAACCCTACCAGAGCTCAATAATTTTGATTCCATATGTATCTGGGAGGAGTGAATTTTCCTCTTAGCGAGAGTGATGATTGTATGGCTTAAATAAGATCATGCAGATATAATAATGGATAATGCGGCTAAAAAGGAGACGGATATAGAAAATTTACACTGGAAAGTACGAATAAATCTCATGTAGGCAGAAAAAATCATCATCGGAGTCCAGTAGAAATAAGTAATAGGAGGTTTGCCGAAGCTGCCTCCCGATCTTCCGATTTTTCAACAACCGGTCTCTCGTTTTAAGTACCTAAGTTTGTTTCCTTAGGCGGATCTTAATAATTGCATTATCAGTCTCCTTCTTCAGGTCGCGGGTATCTAGGCATATTATTCGGATCGACTACAGTGGAGTTTGGTTTATCCCACAAGCCGTTCATAGCCCCCTCACCACACCAATAGTCTATTTTTTTTTGTATATTTCTTAGCACTGTTTACCTATAGGCTCCCTGGGCTAAACGTTGTTTTATGGAACTTTATGAGTTGATTCTAAGTTCCGATAAAAGCTTCATTTCTTTGTTTGTTGATGATCAGGTCTACGTCAGCCATATCTACTTAAGTATCAAGATAGTTTCTGTGTACTACTATCATGTAAATACATAAAAATTTCAGGATAATATAAATGGAATTCTATAATATAAATGGAAGGATATTAAAAACGGTTAGTTCGTATGTAGCGCTGATGTATCGATCAGTTTCATGTCGTTGAAATGATAGTTTGAACATGAACAATTAATGAAATAATTGCAAAAAACCCTTATTTTTGCAGTAATTCATAAATGTTGATAAAATGTTGGTTGTAAATAACTTGTTTTTTTTTTAATTACGACATGTAATATTATGAACATTAATGAGATATTAAAGTACAATAAATCTCAGCTAGATAGACCAAATAGTTTGTAAGCTATTCAATTAGTTTATCCCGCAGAGAGATTATTTAAACAACTGTACTGGCCCAAATAGTGACTCTACAGGTATTAGCAAATCGAAAGGCTTGATTCCTTGAGGCATAAATTTTAAGATATAAAAAAAATCAACATTTTATCAAAATTGTTATTAAAAAACTATTTGAAAAACGGTTGACTTTTTAGCTCATAAACATTTATTACAACTTTTATATTTTTTATGCCATGCTCTTATAAGTAGGCTCACAGAAAAGACGATGAAATAAGTAACACAATGTTAAAAAGAATCTTCTGTGGCCAATAAAAGCTAATGGAATTTTTTTTCTTAAAATCATATTTCCATTGTGTATTCACATTAAGAGCTGAACATTGAAAAGCTTATAAACAAAGATCTAAATTTTATGATCCATTTTATAGAGGGCGTATACCGAGAAGGAATAGGACGGTACAACCCATTAAAATGATGATACTCGTAAAATATAACCTGTTCGATTTCCACTTTTTTTTAGAATGGAACTTCAAATTGGAGAGCGCTGAAAAAAATTGCAATATCTCGGTTTCTATGGCACGTAGAAGCTTGATTTTCTTTTTAATTGCGGTAGCTCGATAAAATAGTAAGAACTGTACCATTTTCACCTCCCGGAAACATCGGAAAATCTCGGAAAAATCAATTAGTTAAATTTTTCCATAAAAAGGTGAATTTTACTATTATTTCATAAGGAATATTGAAATTTTACTGATTCATGTATATTATTTATATAAATATATAACAATTGTTATTTCTTCTTATAAAGTACAAAAACATTAATTTTAAAGTTTGTTTATTCAGAGGGTGTAAAAACCATTTAACATACACAGAAGAAATTGTTGGAGATTATCAATGCGGATTTAGACCGGGCCGCTCTACAATTGACCAGATATTCACAATAAAACAGATAATGGAAAAATGCTGGGAGTTTGATCGAGAGCTTCATCAGATGTTCATAGATTTTAAACAAGCATTTGATAGAGTATGTAGGGACAGACTGTGGACAGCGATGCAGGAACTTGGCTTTCCAAAAAAACTAGTCCGGTTGATACGGATGTGTATGGAACGGTTACGATGTAAGGTGAGAGTTGGACAACAATACTCGGAGACATTTGAAATAAACAATGGACTAAAACAGGGAGATGCACTTTCACCACAACTCTTCAACTTAGCGCTGGAGCACATAATCAGAAGTGCAAGAATCGAAAAACCGAATACAGTATTTCATCGAGAAGGACCAAACTTACTACTGGCATTTGCAGACGATATAGATCTAATAGGAAACACGCGATTAAGGATGAAGGAGACTTTCGTAAGGTTTGAGAAGGAAGCAGAGAAGATGGGGCTCCAAATCAACGAAAACAAGACGAAATATATGTATATGAGCCGC